TTCAAAGGTTCATTGAATCCTAATCAGATAAGACAGCTCTGGTCTTTGAAATGGGAATCCATGATCTGTTCTGCTACATTATACAAATAGCTGCAGCTTAATTTATCCCCACAGGGCAATTCAGTGAGAAAGACTGCAATAGGACTGCCTTGTATGGTATACCAATTTAGTCTAAGAAGCAGCAACTCCAAATCCTGGGTTTTAGCAGCATGGAGAGGAATTTCTTGCAGCAACAGACAAAACAGTGCCAAATGAAAAGCATAAAGAGGTAAAGCCATGGAACAGTGAAGCTATTTGCTTTGAGAAATCTGTTATGATAAATCATTGGCCGGCAAGTTAAATTCCCAAGACTTGATATGCAGAAAAAGTTTGCTAAGACAACCTTTCCTGACATACAGGACAGGAACCCCAATTGGGACTGGCAACTCATTTGTTAGGTGAAGTGATTACTAAATGAAACCGCAGCTGTGCTTATGATCTTCAACTTTCTTTGCTTTACAGACCTGTGAACATCGTAAAAGTGAGTATTGGTTTGTAAAGTTATTTTTTCATCACCATAACTAACAGTTGTCGTGCTGGCTGGGGAATTCAGGAATTGAAGTCCACAAGTCTTAAAGTCGCCAAGGTTGGCCACCCCTGCTCTAGAGCAAGTACATGGAACCCAAAGGAAAAGATTTGTTTTCTGTGAAGAGGAGGGAAAGGCCACTTAAAAAAAAAATTAATAGGTGCTTATGTCACAATTTAGACGAAAGAGATCTTTCTTATGTCAGAATTGATGCCTTTATTGACTCAAAGTCATTGACTTTGTCAAGAACCTTGGAGTACTCATCTCTAATGATCTAAGTGCTAGAGCCCACTGTAACTACATAGCCAAAAAGGCATTAAGAGCAGTCTGGAACCCATATCATGTATCTGATATTAACACAATTGGAAAAGTCCAGAAATATTTCACAAGAAGAGTTCTCCACTCCTCTACTCGTTGCAGAATACCTTATGCCACCAGACTTGAAACTCTAGACCTAGAAAACCTAGAACTACGCCTCCTCCGGTCCGATCTAAATATAGTATATAAAATCATGCATTGCAATGTCCTACCTGTCAATGTCACACCAAACTTGATTGCAGGAAATACAACTTCAGCAACAGAGTGGTCAATGTTTGGAATACTCTATCTGACTCTGTGGTTTCTTCCCCAAACCCCAAAAACTGTAACCTTAGACTGTCTACTATTGACCTCATCCCCTTCCTAAGAGGCTTGTAGGGGCATGCATAAGCGCACCAATCGTACCTACCGTCTCTGTCCTATTGTTTCTTTTTATTTTTCTTATAAGTATCTATCTCATGTATTCAAAACCATGTTTATTCTTATACCTGTATCTTGTCAGCGATTGACAAATCAAATAAATACTAAAAAAATACATTCAAGCCCCAGGATGGGGAATAGTGCCAAAATATTTCTTCCCCATTTCTATACTAGGTTGAACCATTGGAAATCCACAGGAAACACTTATATTGCAAGACCCCATTCTTCCCTTAAAAGTTCAAAGCCAATCCTTCCTACATATTGTTTTGTATCGTCCTCCAAAAAGTATGAACCATGACAAAAGTTGGCAAAAGTCGTCACCCTCCCTAGCAATCCCTTGTGTTTCTTTCATTTACTTCTCCAGCTACTTATCCACATCAGTGAATATTTACAGTAATATTATTCCAGGCAGTATAGCATTAGAAAAACAACAAGTGTTAAAGTTACTCATTGTATCTTTCTTGGGAAAGCTTCTAGTATTTAGTGTGTTCGTTAAGCATTATTGCACAGAATGCTACAACTTTCCACTTGAGGGTGCATATTACGGCAGATACACAGACATACAAACACATCCTTTATATTTTTTATAAATAACTCAAGGGGACAAACATATCTAATACTCCTTCCCTTCCTCCTCTTATTTTCCTCATAACAACCACCCTTGTGAGGTGAGTTCAACTGAGAGAAAGTAACTGGCCCAAAGTCACCCAGCCAGCTTTCATGCCTGAGGAGAGACTAGAACTCAATCAAGACTAGAACTCAATCTCCTAGTTTCTCTAGCTTGGTGCCTTAACCAGAAATTCAAACTGGTTCTTAATTATTAAACAAAATGAAAATACTTAGCCAGTGTGTTACCTTATGATAATCATCAAGCAGTGTGCACATTTGCTGTAAGCAAAGCAAGCAGCACCATCTAGTGTTCAGGCAAGGGGATCTGTAAAGGGGAAGTGAAAAGGCAAAATTCCTAGATAGTAACTAGGCAAATAGGATGGTTTGGAGAATAAGCTCTCGTGGAAAGTTTAACTGGATATCCCAAAAGCCTGAACAGGATACTTGCATGCTCATACAAAAACTCTAGACTGTTCTGTCATTATTCTGTCATTCCATCCCAATATACTAAAACAGAAGAATTATTAACCACTACCCAGTTTTGACTTATTTATTTTATTTATTTGTCAAGCAAGTATTAGATAACAGGTATAAGTATAAACATGGTTATGAATACATGAAATGGATACAAATAAAAAGAAATATTAGGAAGGGACAGTAGGCACACTGGTGTGCTTATGCACGCCCCCTGCATTTTTAGACACTTCATGTAAAGTTTGGAAGAAGCCTGTTGAAGGCTACTCAAATTGGCTCCCTTCACTACTTGATCCCCATATGCACCCGTCTTTCAATACAAAATCATATGAGCAAGGAGCAGGGCTGTATCAGTAGTAGTTTCTGAAAAAAAGATAATTCTGGTCTGAGGTGCCAATTTTAGGCACCTTGCTTTAAGGCACTTGAAGAAAACAAAAATGTTGCTGTACAAAGAAAGGCAACTAGGATGAGCAGGAGATAACAAACTAAATCTTACAGTGAGAAACTAAGAAAGTTAAGTAAATTTGATGCTGTATTGTGAAAGTGCTAAGAAAATATATAGAATAATGATCTGAACTTACAGGAAGCTAGACTTCAGTTCTGTATCAGTTACATATCTAGCTATTCATCCCGTCAGAGCAGATGAGGTGGACATGCTCTAATGTTCCTTCCCTTAAACATTGACATCTTGTAGATCCTTGGAAGTGTGCCTTTTCCATTGCAGTCCCTACCTTATGGAACACCCTCCCTCCCGATATTTGGTAGGCCCCTGTCCATCTTTCAGAGAGCACTTAAAGACTGGTTCTTTCCCTAGAAGTTAGGATACAGAGAGGCCAGAGTGAGATGAGACTGTGGAATAAGAAAAACTGTAGGTATGGCTCCAGGTTTTTCTGGTTTTAGTTTTATTGTTGTTGGTTTTATACTGTTTTTATTGGTTGCAAGTTGCCCAGAGTTGTTGTAAAATGGACAGTTATGTAAATTTAAAAAAATGAAATGAAATGAAAAAACTCATTTACTTTCAATACACAAGCAGAAAAAAGCTTATTCTACTACATATTGTTTTGCTTTAATTTTCCTCTTATATCAAGTTTATTACTTTGCTTTCTTTTAATATGTAGATTTTAATTATTTCAGGTGGGAATATGGTAGATATTGCTTACATTTATCATTTGTACTATAGATGTATATATGTGCTCTAGATACTGCATATACCAATCCCCATACAAGTTGCTATAGATGTGCAAAGCTCACCAATCAGAATCATTTCATTCCCCATCTGGATTATGTTATCTTCCTCCATTGCCCAACCATCCATGCCATTCTAGGGATAGTTGGGCAATTTCTGATAGTAAATTCTAATTCCTCCAAATTAGAAGTGATTTGACATTTCTAGTGGAAAACCAGGCATATTTCATTCAAGATTCCCTGAATGAATTCTGAGGATTTCTGGAGCACATCGATTCAAAAAGGGAACCAAACAGGTTCAGAACATTCTGTTTCTGAATTAGTAAGTTTTGCACATGTGTGGAAATGGCACTGCTCCAATTCAAAATCTTAACATTTATTCCCACAATTTTCTGTTCCTTAGCTACTTACCAATCTTTAAGATGACTTTTGACATGACTAAATTTGCAGGCAACATAGCAAAACATATTTGAAATTGCAAGTAAATAATATTAACTAATACTATATAATTAGTTGGATTCTCAAAAATCTGGGAATTTAGCAAGATATTGTGGAAAATATCCTCAATGTATATTTCTGCAACGTACTTCTCAGTATCTGATCATTTAAATTGATTTTAAAAAGTTAAATAGGCAATAGTGAGTAGAACATTAAATTGGTGTATTGTTCCCTGGATTTCCATGAACCCTTTTCTAGACACTGATATTAAATACATTTCATATAAGTAGAAATGATCAGTTCTATTTTTATTATATGCAGCATTTTTACATTAGATATTTCAGAATATTCAAATGAATACCATCTAGACTCTGTTTTCCATATTAGGTAAGGGCAAAGCATATTTTGGAAAAAAATGTTCTGCTTCTCTTCTAAACCAGTGGTCGCTAACCGGTGGACCACAGCCCACTGGTGGTTCGCGAGAAAATTTTGGTGGTCCGCAGAGAAATATCATCCCCCGAGAACCTCCCAAAGCAATTTAATCCGGGATTTAAAATTGAGTTTGGTGGTTCCTGAGGTAGAAAAGGTTGGTGACTCCTGCTCTAAACCATGACATGTTGATTATTCCAAGGTGCCTTACAAGGTTTTCTTAGAACTGAACCAGATTGTAATGTTTAAATGAAATAAGCCACTTTAGAGTGACCCTATGCCCTGAACACTGCAAATTGCATATACAGTGGAACTTTGGGTTGCGAACATTTCTGACCACAACCAAACTGGGCGATGACCAAAAATTTTGGAAATTTTTTTGCATCTGGTCATGAACACATCCTCGGGTGGCAATCAAACTCAGTTGTGGCGATTTCCCCTTCCATGCCATTTTTTTTTTGTCTGCACATGCACAGCCAGTCTTGCTTCTGGTCATGACCAAATCAGGTTGCAACCGAAGTCCTGGAATGGATTACAGTTGTGACCGGAGGTTCCACTGTAGACTTTCTAGAAAATTGCTGACAATCTAAGTGCCAGGACTGGCTTACTGCAGAGGAATAATTTGCACATCTGTACTTAACACAATCAGAAATTTAATCTTCTGTCACTATTATTTCAGTTTTTCAAATTCCACTTCTTTGAAAACAAAATCTGTTCAAAGCATTCATACTTTCCTCCATTATGTACAATGAAAACAGACACAAATGGCTCATTCAGCTTCTCTACATTCTCATCCTCCTGCTTTTTTTCTGATTTTTCTAGATCACTACATGACATTTTAGCAAATTACATTTACATATTTTGTATTTTTTACAGCAACAGGTTCCCTATTTTTTTTGTGCCATTTTAATTTTTCTTCATTTGGAGAAGACTTCCATTTTCTAATAGCTTTATTTTCAAATGTTTCTTTATTAACTATACTGCAATTTCACTAACAATATTTCTTTCCATAGTTTTATTAACAATAGACACAAACACATACAAATATTTCATTCATAAGAATATTGAATGAACTGGATAATTCCTTAATACTCTGGACAAAATGTTCCCTTTCTTAACCCAAAGTGTTACTGGATTAGGCTTTTATGGCTATTTTCCATTTAAATATAAATCAAATTTGATGACATTTATGATTTTTTTCCAGATGTTTTTAAACTATGCATTTCAATTAATGACAGAGTAGCATTTACCCAAGCAAACAAAAATATTGATGTGTAGGAACTACATCGAACTGGAAAAGCATGAATACCATTCATAGATACAAATATACAAAATAAGTGAATTGATTTATTTTAAAATGTACATAGGTAACACAGGTATTAACTAAACAAGAAAATCCACTGATTTGATGAAATTGTTTAATTGCTCCAAGAGGAAGAAAATGAGTCTTATTTGCCAAATAAACTTTGGGAATACATAATCAGGATTGGGAATTCTGCAAAACATTGGATAGTCCTAATATTTAAAGGGAGTGAGAGTTAATGTCTTGGAAGTCCAATAACCCAAAGTGAAGGAGCGACAGTGTTAGCCAACCCGCAGTGGAGGAGCAACCAATACAACTCCATCTCCTCTGACAAACAGCATTGGAATATTCCTCTTGGTAGACTGTGGAAAGAAAAAGCAACAAGGCTGAGACTATGTTCAAGAATACCAAACAACCATTACCATTACCATTTTTGTTTTGAATTTATGTTTTACTGACAAAGAAATAAAGGGAGACTAGAATAGATCTATTTCAAGCTATTTAGCTCTCATCAGTAGAAGCAATATGCTTCATCCCATAACTGGATAGATCAGGTTGCCCAGATAGACCAGTCCCACCTGAAAAAAACACTTTACCATTCCTATTATCATTTCTATTCCATTCCATTCTTAAATAGAACCAGTTTAAGAACTAGTTCTATTTAAAGTGGTTTAGTGGTTAAGACACCAAGCAAGTAGCCTCACAATAAGAGACTGTGAATTCTAGTCCACCTTAGGTATGAAAGCTTAGATATAAAGCTTTAGTTAAATCACTAGTTTAAGAACTAGTTCTATTTAAGGTGGTTTAGTGGTTAAGACACCAAGCAAGTAGCCTCACAGCAAGAGTCCACCTTAGGTATGAAAGCTTAGGTATGAAGCTTTAGTCAAGTCACTCGCTATCAGCCCAACTCACCTCACATGGTTGTTGTGGGCAAAATAGGAAAGAATAGTGTGTGTGTTTGTTACCTTATTTATTAAAAAAATAAAGGCAGGATATAACTAAATACAATTCATACATTTGGAAACAAGATTATTCCATTAAAATGTATTTGCACAATGAATACTAGATATATTTAATTTTTCATCCAACTATGTTTTGAACTGAATGGGTATTATACAATGATTTGATTAGTAAAGTTTAAGATAGTACTTAAATTTATGTACCTGGCCCTTTTAATATTTAAACATTATCAGTGATATTAGAAATTCTCACCTTATAAATCTCTTCATAAGTTTCTTCATCGATTTCTATTGTGGTCACAGTCTCTTCAACATCACCCAAAATCATATTTAAATGCTGGTCATATGCCTTTGAAAGTGAAACAAATTCATAAACATTGTTCTGGTGGCATCATTTATTGTGGCACAAATAGAAAAAAATAAAAAATTCCAACTTTAACATGTAGTAATTAGTTTTAATTTTCCAGTTTGCTGAACCTAGCTCTTTTATCATGCAAACTGATTTATATATTCCATGCATAATTGTTGGAAATGCTATAATCAGGCTGAATGATTCTTATATATGTATATTGGTAGTAATGGTATAAAACCCAGCAATCTGGAAAATGATTTATTATAGAATAAAGCAAATATTAAAAGCTGATTTTTCTTTCCTACTAATTGCTTTTCTGTTCAATATATTTTATCAAAACTTTGATTTCTAAATCTATTCTAAGGTAGCTCTTACATAACAGGTGTCAGGACTTTGTGCCTTTATTGAAGTACATTCAAGTCAAATCTAAGTTCATATTTAAAAGCAAATTTGGCACAGAATTTTAATTTCAATTTGGAAACCTTTTCTGGATTATAATTCTACATATGGACCAGTACTTTATTCAAAATTTGGATAGTTCTTAGCATAAGCATTTAACATACTAGCTTCTATTTGAATTGTTAAATAAGCACTTGAATTCTTATATTTGACAGTTACTTTCACTAATAGGTTTTGACTTATAATTAATTATACTAAGCACTTTAGTTAATTATGGGATATGGATTTATGTTTTTCAGATCTTAAATACAAAAGTCTTTAATATGCAGTACTGATCTAATGATATCTCAAAATTTTAATGTTCACTTTGTAAAATTCTTTTCTATTTTTCCCCTTATTTTTATACTATATTTTTTCTTGGTGTCATTAAATATATATTGAAATAAATGTTCTATGCATACAATACACATTGCCAAACTTTAATGAAAAGTTTACAAGCAGGAAACTAAGTGAGCAGCATCCTTCTGTTCACCCACTGGACAGTTCTGAACAATATTCACTGACTAGTTGCTAATACTATAATTATGAGTAGAAAACCTAATTCTATAATTTATATATAATCTATAATTTTATGCATTCACAAGGATGGACCTTGCTATTTGGGTCAGGAGATGCAGTCTAACTTAATAACCGCAGATGAGTCCATGCAGAAATATACTTTATGGATGTAATAAAACTCAACCATTCTTTAATGGGTGCATCTAATGTAAAAAACCACTTCAAACACCACTATGTGCCAAAAACATGGATGTACAAAATTGTACATAACAAAGTTGGAGATAAGAGGATAATCTCTACCACTTTGCAAAAGGTTTCTCTTGTTATGCTGTCTAGATAAAAAATGAATATACTTTCAACTTTTTCTCCACTGAAATAATACTGATGATCAACATTTCAGCTCTCAAAGTATTCTTCTATGTCATGCATAATGCTACTGTAACAAAAAAACTTTAAACTTTGAACATCAACCATTATATTTTGCTTTTACAACCAGGTAAAGCAGTCCAGTTTTTAAAAACAAAAAAAGCATGATTTACTGATGCAATTGCCTAAGAAAAGGATAAAATACCACCTTACTCAATGAAAAACTAGTATGGCATAATACATGCATACAGATCCTTAATAAACCATACACTGAATCTCTATTTGTTTTGCTAACTAATTGCGACTGTGGTGTAAAGCTGTGACTTTAAAAATGGGGATTCAAGATCTAGACATGTTTTTAACTTATTTGTGCTTGTATCAAAGCTCTAATAAATCCAGAGATAGAACAGAAATAAAGATTTAGAAAGGAAAATAGAAATCAGGAATAGGCTAAACAAACCATAATTATTTTGATCAACTGAATTTGTTTTTGCTTGTATGACCAACTAACTGGCTTATGGGTGGCATATAAATTTAATAATAAATTATAACTTAACTAATTTTCTCTACAATGATCTATTACTAAATAAGCATTGTTCATAATTTGTTTTACTTTAAGGGAAAAAAAAAACCTTTCAACCAGAAATATAAAACTGCAGAAAAAAGGTAACCTAAGCCTGCCAGAGGCATTTCACCCCTTTATAACAACTTACAAATGAGTCCTAGTTATATCTATGCTTGCAGTGTGGTTCACAAAAGCCTCTTGCAGTCCTTGAGCTTAACAAAAATGTACAACTCTAAAATTTCAGCCACTTCCCCATTTCTATGTAATTTTACTTACATGTAACCTGCCTCGAAGTTCTCGGTCATTCCTCATTTTTACATAAATCCGTTCATCAAGACTTAGTCTGATGAGATCCAAAGGCTCTTCTACAGTGTTGGTGGTTTGTTGCTACAAAATATAAAAGTAGAGATATAGAGATATACTTTAGCAAACAAACCTGAGATGATTTGATTTAGTAGTTAAGGCATCAGGCTAAGAACGAGAAGATCATGAGAAGCCTCACTTTAGGCATCAAATCCAGCTGCGTGACTTTGGGCTGGTCTCTCTCTCTCAGCCTAACCCACCTCATTAGATATGTTTGTTTCCTTGAATTAGTTATAAAAATAATAAAGCAGGTTGTATATAAATAAATAGTAAATGTTGGCTACTGATACTTACTCATTTCTTCTAAAAAAATCCTAATCTGATGACAACTAATGTTTACGGTATAGTTTGTAATATAATATGGTGAATTTTCATCAGCTTTCAGAAGGATAAGAATTCACTTGTGATGACAGGATCAACAGGAAAATGCAAATAAAATTAGAGAAAATATATACTGCTTCCCTCAACCTAGTCCACATTAATAGCTGTTTTGATATATTAATATTTGCTTTTGAAAAATCTTAGAAAAGACCGCCTCTTTCTTAAACAAAAGACTAGATGTACATTTCACTAGAAAGACTCAGTATATCTTGTCAAACGTTATAATAATGTCTGCATTTTGCTTACAGTTTGAGTCAATGTTCTTCAAATAAAAGTATTACATATATTTACATTTTTCTTTGACCATAATACTTACAAATCCCAAACAAAAAGACAATAGTGTCATATATTATTTTTCTGTTTTATATTCAAAGTTCATAATAACTTATTTTCCAATATTGAAAAAGGTCACTAATTGCAATAGTTATCAAATAATTAAAAGTTACACATCAAGAAATGCCTGTGCAATTGAGAGTTTATAGCCTAAGCTTTCCTATTTGTAGACAGCATATCTATATCAACTTGCTACCGGCTTCAACAAGTAACAGAATATATTATTTTTACACACAAAAGGCTTTCAACAGCCACACAAATATGTACACCCAGATCACAGCAACACACTAGTGGTATACCTGCTTTGAAAAACCCTGCCTGTTGGGTTTAATCCAGGGGTCGCTCAAGGTTTAAGGATCAATATTGCAATAGAGAACGATCTAAGGCAACATTTGCTTAAACTTTTTTCCCTTAGGATCCCTTGCCACTTTTAAAAATTATAGCGGACCCCAAAATTGTTTGTACAGGTTACATTTATCAATATTCACATCAAAAATTAAAACTGACACTTGGGTGAGCAGCAAAACGTTTTAAAGCAAAAAGAAAATTAGTCCGGTTACCCTGACTGAACTTCCAAACCGGATGACTGAGAATCTTCATCGACTTCTCAATATAGCGTGGTAAGATTTTAATACTGCATTATTTTATAACACCGAGTGGCAAATCATTTTGATTTTGCGGACTTTCTGGGACGCCACATTTTGAGAATTTAAGGCATTTTATCAGAAACCATGAAGTAGCATTTCATCCACTGCAGACCCTTAATATTGTCTTATGTTTTATCAGTTAAGACTTTGAAAAAGGAAAATAAAAGCAGCTTATAGGAGTCCTGTCGGTATTTGAGATGAGCGGCCGATTATAAATCGATTAATAAACCTCAAGAGGCAGGTCGCTATAGGAAACACTAACGCCCACCAGCAGCCGTTTACTGGGACTTTGCAAAACTCAAAGCGAGAGCTTAGAAACTGAAGCTCTAGTTAACCATCCCGCAGGTTTGCCACGTTGTCCACCACAACAGGGTCAAATCCCTAGAAGATTCGGCGGCCGCCAAACCGCCAAACCGGCCGTTTCACCCACCTGATCCACCTCGTCCGCCATTTTTTTCAAATACCAGACCGCTTTCTTCTCGCGAGATTTTAAATCAAGCCTGATACGGCCCTACCGAACGCTTAGCGGAGTACGTAAAGCTGCGAAAGTAGATGCTCGTGTAACGTCCAGCTTGCGGGTTAGTTAATAGAAATCGCCATTCTTTTGCTTTTTCCAGTTCTGCAATTTCTTTTGGACTCTGCTCGGGTTGGACTGAACCATATTTTTTTTCCAACCTGGGCCAATTTTAAGACGTGTGGATTTCAATTCCTATCCATTTCAAACTTGCCCCGGTTGAGAAACGCTGGGTTAGATTATCCCAAAGGTGCTTTTCCAAGAGGCAACTGGACAAAAAGTATTTAGGATAAGCTGGACAAGCTTCTTTGGGATAACAACCACGACCTGGATGCCTGAGAAGCTGCACAGACGCGGGGTTTAGATCAAGGGCTCCCAAACTGGGTAACTTTAAGACTTGTGGACTTCAACTCCCAGAATTCCTCAGCACAGCATAGCTGGCTGAGGAATTCCGGGAATTGAAGTCCACAAGTCTTAAAGTTGCCAAGTGTGGGGACCCCTGGTTTAGATGAGCAGGCTGACTTCGCACACAAGCAAGGCTGGGGGAAATCAAGCCGCCTCCGTCTGTGGTTTTCCTCAGCCCGTGCTTTAAATGCGTCTCCCTTTGAACCGATTCAATACCGCGCCGTGTGAATGAATATTCATACATCGGGCGTGAAGCTTGAGCGCTTTTACGCTTCCTCTTCGAGAGAGCCGAAGGGAGAGATGCGAAGCGCAGCCAGGCAGCTCGATCCAGAGTAATCCAGCGGTTCACAAGGACAAGGATTCCCCACCTCCCTCCCACCTGCCTTGAACCTCTCCGATCCGCCGCAGCGCAGCTTCTCCGGAGCCGCCGGCACGGAAGGGACGTCAAGGGGAGGAGGCGCCACGGAAAGCCGGGAGCTCCCGGCGTGTGGCTCTGTCTTGTTTGCCTCCTGCGAGAAGCGGGGGAAAGAACGGAGGGTGGCTCTAAGACGCGGCCGCTCAGCAGCCCTGCTAAAGAGACGCTTCGCTCTTCTTTGACACCTTCGGGGCTCGGCCGCGCCTGGCGTGGAGGCGGATCGGGCTGTTTCCTTTTGCGGAGTAGCGGCCGGGATGGTCGGGAAGCGTAAAGGGGTCCCGCAGGTGCAGCGGTCCTGCAAGAAAGTCAAGGCAGAGGCTCCAGCCGCCGCTGCCGCCTCTTCCTCCTCTTCCGCGGGTCTGAAAACCTGTGAGCAGCGAAACGGTAAAAAGGCAGTCAAATCTCGGGCAGGAGTCGTAGGCTGGTAGCATCGGGGATGGTGGTGGATGGGGAGCTGGGAGATAGCCTGGAGAGTTATACTTCAGAGCCGGAAAGGAGTAACTGTAAATAAATAAATAATAAATAATAAACTGTAAATAAATAATAAAGCAGCTTTTTCTGCTGCTCCCGGCAGATTTCACGCCTCCTTTAGTCTCTTGTGGAATAGTTTTCATTGCCTTTCCTGAGCGACGCGAAGTTAGCAACTTGGACCGCTTCGGGCGGAATTCTCTCTTATGCAACGCTTATGTAAAAATGTTATGAGAAAGTTCCCCAGTACTGTTGCTCAGCCCTTTCAGTTTTTTTCCCCTTTAAAATAAGTGTTTCTGCAAGTTCCATATTTAAAACGCGTTTCTGGGTGTGTGGGGTGTGTGTGTGTGCAATAAACGCTGGGGACGAGACTAAAGTACAATACTGTGAGCAGAATGAAGTTGTGAATGAAGCTCGAGTTGTGCCACGTGATTAAAGGACACTTTGAATGGCGCTCTCCTTTTCTTTGTAGAGTTACTCTTGTGGTTACATAAGTGCGCAGTTCTTTGTCGCCAATATGTGCTTAGAAATTACTAAATGTTTCATGGAAAGGACTTTGTATAATTTATTTTTTCCCTCTTGTTTCCCGAAGAATGAAAACAAAAGCTGACTTCAGTTCTTTATTCTGTCAGAATGGGATACAACTTTCTGCTGATTAGGTTAATGCACCATGGATATTCAGTAAAGTTTAAGGAGAGTTTTTTTTAAAAAAATGTCATTAATAGAAAGTTGTCGAGTTCATTTATAATGCTGACTGTATTGAATTGAATAAAAATGTATCTGCTTATCTACACAATTAAGGAGAAGCATCAGTTTACAAACCCATGCAGCTTAATTTTGAATAGATAATTGGAAATTAAGTGGGCTTTTGCTTAAAAGGTTCCTTTAAAAATCTGCAATCTACTTTTCCCCAGTGTTTTGGGTTTTTTTGCAATTTTCTCCATTTTTGATACAGACAATTTTGAAGATGAAAAGCCTGAAAAGAAAACTAGGCCCAAATTGTCATCTGGAAAAAAGAAAGAAAAAGAACATGTCCCTCAGACACTTTGTAAAAATTCCAATGAAAAAAGACCAAAATCCAAAGTCAAAGAAGAAATGAATAGAAGTATAGAAAGCCAAGAGTTCCTTCCAAAAGCAGGGAAATGCAGGTGAGCAACTTTAATGCTTTTTGTAGACATTTTCAATGTACGCATACAAATTATTCGAATTGAAAGAGTCCATCAATGCTACCTACTGCAACCCTCTACTTAGTGTGGGAATATCCAGAATAAATTTTGATGGATTTCAAAGACCAGTCATTGTGCAGGATGCCAAGATGTCTGACCACATATGTGGCGTTTATTACTTTTATACCATTTTTACAAGCAAGGAAGAGTAGCAGAAATACAATGTTTGGATTGGAGAATAGATCCCACATGGGTGCAACCTCCCAACCACATTGGTATAACCTCCCAACCAATCCTTAATACTAGTGGTGATGTTAGTAAAATGAGGTCACCTAAGTCCGGAAAGTCTGGGACTTTCCACCTTCACCAAGATATAGGGAATGAGATCATGCAAGTAGCCAAGAAGCCTCATATAGGTTTTTAGACACTGCAGTTTGCTGCTAGCATCGAGCACCATCTATAGGATCTCAGTGGCCACTACAAAATTTTAGCTTCTGCTTGAATACAGAAAACAGGAGCCCAGCAGGTGCTGTTAAACTGCTCTTACTGTTTTTTGACTTAAACGTTTCCTAAAAAGTAACCAGAATCTCATTTTTTTCTGGAATTACAGACCACTGGAAAGATAGATAATAGCAATATACTTGATATGCTGAAGAGGTATGGCATCTCTTCAGATACTTGGAAAGTGCCATTACATCCCCTCTCAATTGCCATTTTTCAGGACTAATGTACCTAGTCCCTTCAGTTGCTTCTCATAAGACGTAATTTCTTATTACCTTATCATCTTTTCTCTGAACAGAGTATTCAGAGTATTCCAAAGCAGATGACCAATGCAAAATATACAGGTAGTCCTCAATTTACAATCACAATTGAGCCCAAAATTTATTTTGTTAAGTGAGAAGTTTGTGAAGTGAGTTTTGCCCCAATTTACGACTTTTCTTGACACATTTCTTAAGTGAATCACTGCAACTGTTAAATTAGTAACACCGTTGTTAATGAATCTGGCTGCCCCATTGACTTTGCTTGTCAGAAGGTTTCAAAAGGTGATGACATGACCCTGGGCACTGCAACCGTCATAAATATGAAACAGTTCTCAAACATCTGAAGGTAAATCATCTGACCATGGGGATACTGCAACGATCATAACTCTGAAAAATAGTCGTAAATAAAATGCCCGCTGTAACTTTGAATGGTCTTTAAGTTGTAAGTCGAGGACTATCTGTATCAGAACTTTTATTTGCCAGAGTTGAAACTGCTGTAGTTTTTTCAGACTAAATGTTATCAAAGCAGATATCTCCTAAACTTATGCCTGTGAATTAGGCTTGTTTTTTCTAAGTGTGGAGTACAGCATTTGTAACTATTAAGTTTCATGCAGTTTTCTTCCCATTTAACCTGTAAAGATTCTTTGGAGGTGTATTTATGTCTCCTGAAGCCTTAGTTATCTCATCTGAGTTTGTACCTTTTTCCATTTTGCAATGACTATAAGGAATTTAGATGTTTTTTATTTTTTGCTTTGGTTACACACGGTTTGTTATGTTGTCTAAAGTAAACAGTGGTTAATATTACTGTAAGTTTGAATCATATCAGGGAAAGCAAAGCAGAGTAGATGAGACAAGGGGAAAAATCATAGTATATTTCTTTTTGAATTCAGTAGCCGTTTGCAGAGAACTCCTTTAAAGAAAAAAACTGATGCAAAAAAAGAATTAATTTTTACAAAGAAAGAAGAAGATGAGGATGAGGAAAGTGAGGAAGAATGGGAAGATGTGGAAGGTAATACATTCTTCATTTTCTGCTATATAAGCCATTTGTCTCATTTTCTGATGGCTTTTTGTGGTTTATGCTTATTTTCATACTGAAGTCATCCAAAGATTATCACAGATCTATTGAATGTTGTGTTTCTTTTTTGCCTGTCTGAGCTTGATGGACTTTTTTTTTAAACTTCCCAGGTGATGCAGAGTAACTAATTAAATAAGTAAATGATAGAGCAACTATATTGTTTCTTCAGTTTCAAATAAGATGAAGGAACTATCTGGAAGTTGATTGGCTGAAACTTTCCTTTAGTGTGTCATCTCTCTCTTTCACAAAGATCATCCTTAGATTTAAGTAGTGAAAACACAGCACTATTTTAAATAATTTTAAATCAACTTTATTTATTTGTTTGTTTGTTTATTTAAGACTCCCAAGAGAGATGGGCAGTTAAAAATGTGAAAAATAACTAAGTACAAATAATTTAAATCCCACCTTTTATTCAGGAGCTCAAGACAATTTGCATAACAATCCTACCACCCACTTTTTCCCCCTTACAATAACCACTTTGTGATTTGTTTCCACTAGTTGTAGTTTATCTGAGCTAAGGTGGTACAATAAATTGATTGATTAAAAGTGAAAAAGATGGTAAAAAGGGGTGTTAGAACATAAGGAAATAGCAATAGCATTTAGACTTATATATCGCTTCACAGTGTTTTACAACCCTCTCTAAGCAGTTTAGAGAATCAACATATTGTGCCCCACCAATCTGGGTACTCATTTTACTGACCTTGGAAGGATGGAAGGCTGAGTCAACCTTGAGCCAGTGAGTATTGAACTGTTGGCAGTTGGCAGTCAGCAGAATTAGCCTGCAATACTGCATTCTAACCACTGTGCCACTACGGCTCATATATTGCATTAAGTAATAGATTTCCAATATAATATGGAATATGTGCCATAATAGACATTTATAAATTTCTTCTCCAATCTGATGTCTTACAGATAAGTTGGAAATATAGCTTCCTAAAAGTCAAACCAGCAAAGACAGTAGTGTCCATTAGAACACCCAGTTGGAGAAGAGTGACTCATAAAAGAATGTGATATTTGCCTGAATGATATGTGCCTAGATTGATGGGCACATATTGTTTAGCTTGTTGCCAAAATGTGATTCAGAAATACTCATGAATTGTCATATCTTATGCCTTCATGTATCTTAATTTTCTGACTTTGAAACCATATGGGAAGCAGCGCTGAATTGGAACTGTTCGATTCTGTTTGAAACACACTGGTTAGATTTAGACCTTTATTTCCAGAACTTTGTGAACCTGAGATCGAGATGCTGAAAGAAGTTAAGGCACCAAAGCAGCCCAACCCAACTGTTGAGATAGAAATTGAAACACCTGAACAAGCAAAGAAAAGAGAGAAAAGGTAGGCAGACATCCATGTGGGGTGGAGTCCCAATGGAATTGGGTGGCCAATAAATTTAATAATAATAAATAATGTAATAATATTTGGGGTTTTCACAATTGATTTGGCTTTTAGAGGGAAAGAGTCTGTATAAAAGATTTTCAGACATTTTGCTGTGGTCTCTTTTTCCAATTTGGTCCCCAAGTTTGTAAATATAGTACCTTTGCTATTTATCATTATTAATCGTTATTTTTAAGAGAAAACAGTTTTTTTGCTTAGGATTTTGGTAACCTTCATTGATATTTTGTTTGTGCTGTCCTTAATTTTGGCTATTACAACCATATAATAGACATTGTTATATTTTGCTTTGTATTGTCTTCACATTTGATTAGAATTAGGATCAGAGTTTTCGTTGCTTAGCAATGCGTTTGTTAAGCAAGTCATCATATGGCAAGACCAAATTTTACAACCATTTTTACTGTGGTCATTAAGCAAATTCAGCTTCCCCAATTAATTTTACTTGTCAGAAATCAACTGGGAAGATCACAAGTTGTAATCTTGTGGCTGCAAGATGATGCAACTATTATAAATGCAAGTTGGTTGCTAAGCACCCACATTGTGATCACGTGATCATGAGAGTGATGTGATGATTATAATTTTGAGGAGAGGTCATAAGTCACTTTTTCCAAAGCTGTTGTAACTTCCAACTGTTGTTAAACAGACAGTTGTAAGTCTTAGGACTACCTGTAATTGACTCCTGCATCATTAGGAAGCAATTTAGATATTGCCAAATAAAAGAAAGGAATTCACACAACCAGTAGTCACATATAGCGTATAGCTTCTGACAAATTGTAATATGTTACGTGATCCTTGCGTTTTCTTGCTATAAATGACTGTTCAAAATCTAGATTGGGGTGGGCACTGTGCACTTTTAAGAGGGTGATGAGAAATGGAGAACTGCTTTATGCACTTAATCAGAGCTGTGACTTTTTTTCCCCTGGAGTTTTGCTGTTCTTTTCATGTATTTCTGGCCTGAAGTGAATAAGATTCCCAGCAACCACTTTTGAAAGAGCTTTCAAGGACAACAAAATGGGATTTGTTTAGAAAGAGAGATCCTAAAGACATTATAGCATACAGTCAGTTTGGTCTAGTGGTTAAGGCAACTGTAAGCTAACTCACAGGATTGTTGTTATGGGGAAAATAGGAGGAGGAAGGAGTGTTAAACCGGTAGTGGGAATTTTGAGAAGTTCGGAGAACCAGCAAACACCATCTCTGACAGGCCCCGCCCCCATCTATTCTCTGCCTCCCAAATCCCAGCTGATCAGCTGGATCTTCTTTTGTTGCCCTGCACAGGAGAACAGAGCTGGAAAACAGGTTAATAGGATGGGGAGGGAATGGAGATTTTGTAGTATCCTTCCCCTGCCACACCCACCAAGCCACACCACGCCCACCAAGCCATTCCCACAGAACCAGTAGTAAACATGTTTGAATCCCACCAGTGACCGTTATGTATGTTGGACATCTTGAGTTATTTCTAAAAACAATAAAGGCTTGATGTAAGTAAAATAAAATAATTAAATAGAACTCATTGTTTTACATGAAATCTTGCAGAGAGAAACGGCAAGCTGAGTTTGAGATATATCTCCGTCGAATGCTGAAACGTTTCAGCAAAGAAGTCCGTGAAGATACTCATAAGGTTTGATCTTAAGTTGTCAGAAAATTGGGAGACTTCTAGGAGCAGAGTTCATTATCTGAAGTATTACATTTATCAATTTACCCTGGCAATTAAACTAATTGAATTTGAACGTACTTTAGAGTTAGGATCATCTACTCAAGCCCCTGCTCAGTGCAAGACTTACAATGCAGTATGCCGTTAAAATATTCCTGATCTGTAATCTTCCAGGCTTGGCATAATCAAATTTCTGAAAGGTGAGCTCATTACTATACAAATGTTTCACCACTTTTGAGCAGTTTTTACTAGTGGAGGATCATTAATGGAGGAAACATAAGAGAATCACTTTGGTCCAGTGGTTATGCAGAGTCTGTGAGATTAAAAGTCTCACCTTAACCATGAAAGCCAGCTGGGTGACTTTGAGCCTGTCATTCTCTCTCTCAGTCCCTCCCACCTCATAGGGTTGTTGTTGTGGGGGAAATAGAAGGAGGAATGCGCATTGGATATGTTTGCTGGCTTGAGTTATTTGTAAAAATAATAAAGAGGGGATACAAATAAATAAATACTACACATCTGGATCGTTAGTGATGTCCAAAAAAGTAATTCAATGTATATTTACTGGGAAAACAGCATCCTGAATTTTGGGAGGAGTTTAAAAAAATGTTCCTGTGCATATAAGAATATTTTAAGTTAGCACTCAATAAACATAACTCAAAGAATTAATTTATTTTGTACATTTTGTAATAAAACTGAATTTTATTTGAAAAACCTGTTAGTGCAGCTGCTGTGCTCAGAGTGGCATATGCTCTGTAAATGCAAATTTAAAACCACACTTTCAAATTCAACTGCCACATGCATCTTAAAAATAAACTGAGCAGTTGAAATACTAGCAGATGTAAATACAGCCTTAAAAAGATACCAACTGTCAAACTGATACTCAGTTAAAATTTACCTCTGTGACACTGGAAACATCATAAGTCTTGAGGCAGAGAATATTAACTTCCTGTGGTCTCTCACAATACATCTTGATATAATTAGAACAATGCAGGAAAACCCTTCTTGGTCAGCACATACTTTAATGCTGCAAATTTAAAAGGTGGGCTTGGCCTGGAATATGTATGAGCTAAGAGTTGAGGGTTAAATTACCATCTACCATCCATATTAGAAGTTTATGAAATTCATATAAAATATGAATTTATATAATCCAAGGAGAGAAGAGAAATAAGGCTATTTCACCCCTTGGTTGAAAGCAAAACATTCACTCTAATTGGTCATGAAAGAACTGTAATTCTACAAATGGTTTCCTAAATATGCCTTTTTATTTTTTCTTCTCCCTCTTCTTCTTCTCCCCCTCCCTCCACCCCCAGGTCTTGGAAAGTAGGATGTGCAAAGACCTCAGAGTCAAAACAGCTCCCCAAAACGTTGACCCTGGGAGCTCCTTCAAATGCTGCCATTTAATTCTAATATTTAATGGGGATGAGAAGAAATTGTTAAAATGTATGAGGAACAATGACTTTACTTGTGATAATTAATTAATTATGTATAAAATTGAGGTGTACATTTATAGTTTGCCCTACCCCCTGCCTATTTTGGGGAAGTTTAGCCCCAGCATACCATTGAAAGCCCAAATGTGGGTCTTGTTCCACGAAATGATGATGGATGCCTAGGCTAAAGAATGGAACAAGATACTTTTTAACAGGAATTAACCAGTACAGTGAAATGGATGATGGGAATGCTTAAAATTTATGTTTCTTGTGGCTTCTCTGAGGTGCTGTGAGGGGAGCAGAGCTGGATCTAACTGACTGGATCTGGCCCATATGGGGCCTACCCCCTGAATTGTAAAAATCACTTCAGTATCTCTGAGGTACCTTAAGGCTGCTTGTTTCCTTAGGATCCATGTCCTTTTCCCAACAGGTTCACTTACTGTGCCTGTTGGCCAACGGTTTCCACAGGAACAGGATCTGCCTTCAGCCAGATCTTCAAGCGGTTGGCCTTTCTATCATTCCAATTCGCTTCACCAAGGACCCTGTAGATCGCATCAACCGTCTGTTTCTGTCAAATCTTGTGAACTGGTAAGGTTTTTCTTTTCTTTTCCATTTCTTTTTTTAATTGAATTTAGGATCCAGCAGTGAAAAATCTGGCTTTCTGTGACTTTGATTAGTCCAAGGATAAGGAATTAAGTGTGAGGGAGTCTTCTTTTTACTTTAACTGTAAGACTGAGATAGTTTTCCCTACCGTCCATTCCAGCTCCCATGGGAGAGATGGGGCAAATAAATAAATTATGGTTTTCTTGTTTTTAAAATAAAGGTTTTCTGCAACTTTTACTATTAACAATCAGCTCTCTGACAGTGAAGATTGGCAGGTTACTCTAGAGAGGCGTTTTGCTGTCTATGCTGCACGAGATGAGGCGGAACTGGTGCAGGTAAGTGATAGAAGGCTTTGCAAGGCATGCTGGATCCCTGCTATGTTATAATCATAGTAAGGATAATATGAGGGAGGTAGAGGCTAGAAGCTTGTATTTTTCACATACAAAGAGAAAAACAGACCACCAGATATTTCTATACACCTCTTGCTCCTTTAGCTATTGATGTCATCATTGGAAATTCTGTTTTTATGCTGAGCATAGCATACAAGGAATTTATCGGACATTATACATGTGTGAACCTGAGTATATGTCTGTACAAACACATATGTGCAAAGACGTGCAGCAGTTTTAGCATTCATGGCACTAGGGAAAAAGATTAAAGCTTTAATTGTCATAATTGTAGGGGAGGAGAACCTGCTTTACATATTATATATAAATTATATATTTGTTTGATTTCAAAACATTTGCAGCAATTGTCCTGTGGGTAAACAGTGTCAACGCTGAATGGGGGAAGGAGAGGTACAAAAATCAGATTCCAAACTGTTGTTTTTTTCCTGATAGATATTTTTACTTATTCTTCGAGCACTGCATCTAATGTGCCGACTTGTATTATCTTTACAACCCATTCCTCTCAAAGAGCCACCGAGGAAGGTAAGTATAGCAAAATTGTTGCTGTCTGGTTTTTTTTCCAGAAGATGGTCCTTCCCGAACAACCTGAGACTTACTTTGTAGTAAATCTATTTGGTGTCTCTTTTTAATATTTTTGCTTGTGTTTATGAATGTGCTTTGGTTTGTTTTCCTGAATATCTTCAAGTGTTTGTTAATTCCTTATTATTCTGAAAATAAAGGAAAATGTATACATTTAAGATGATTTTGAAGTGAGATAACTACAGTTATTGAGTAGGCCAGACTACCTCCTCGACTTATGACTGTGTTTAGTAACTGCCCATCATGGTTGTAAGTTGTGATGGTTTTTGAACTGTGGTTGCTAAGGTGTTTGCCAATGGTTTGCTATGGGCTGAAGTAAATGCTTGCTTTTCACAAAACTATTGTAAAACATGATCATGTGACTGTGGGATACTGCAAGCAGCCATAAATATGAGCCAGTTACTGAGCTCCTGCCATGCAGTCATATGAATAAGGTCATAAGTTCAATTGGGAGGTCCATTATAAATTTGAACGATCACTAAGGTAGCCTTTGTAAATCATGAATTACATGTATATAACTCCTTGGGTTGAATTTATGCTGCTTTCTTCGGTATCTCTTGATTCAATATCTGCCGAATGTATAAACTGGGGCTGAGAAACGATATGGCAGTAGCCTACGGGTGGGAAGCAAGTAGAGTAAGTCATACCCTATAGAGAGATGCAATTACAAATATTATAGATGGGAAGTGCACTGGCAAAGTTGTTGTCTGAACAATAGAGCTGGTTTACATATGTAAATAATGTATTGTTTTTAAAGGGAAGCAGTCTAACGATAAATGTGTTTCTAGTCCTTATGACTAAGAGAGAGAAAGAACTAAAAGGTGTCCAGATTTGTAGTCCTTCGTCGTCATAAAGGCCACAGAAGATGAGAAATGGGGGTGGTGGAGTTTTGTTACACAGACTCCCTATGCCAGTGAAACAAACAGCACAATCCAGAGATCCAGCATCTCCACCAATAACACTGTAATTCATGTTGGGTTGTAAAAAGTGAACAGCCAATATAATCTAAGAGCAGGTCATTTTCTAAAGTCAACAATTTGAATTTTAATGCAGAGGAGCTCTCCATTATTATTTTGTTGTTGTTGTTCTGCTTTTGCCTCTCAAAATCTTCCTCTCTCCTTCATATTTGTTTCAGGGAAAATCCTCCAAGAAAAGCTCTGTTTTGGTAGCTTCTGGGACATTGCCTGATTCTGCCAAAAGCACAAGACAATGCACAAGAGCAGATACTGCTAAGAAGCCAAGCCTCTCCAGGGCCAAAAGACTAAGGAAAAAATCTCCAACACAGGAAGATATTTGGAAAGATATAAAATCTGAGAACGATGAGAAGATCTTAAGGGCAGAACAAGCGCTGGGCAGGCCTAAAAATGACCGACGACGGCAAGTGGCATCAAAAGTGTCCTATAAAGAAGAGAGTGGAGACAGTGAGGATAATGATTCTGAATTCTGTCCTACAGAGGAAAATGATGATACTAGCATATCTGATGAGGATTTTGAAATTCCCAGAAAAAAACTGAAGTCACCACTAGGAACCCCTAAAACAACGCTAGGAACCCTGAAAACAAAAGCAATGGTTAACAGGAAACGATCCGTGCCTTCTGTGTCAAAAAGACACAAGGACTCCGAGATAATGGGTAGTTCGGTAGACAAAACAGTCAGCCCATGTTCTTCAAACTCATCCAAGAAGAAAAACAAAATAATTTCTAGTGATGAAGAAGAAGAGCAGAGGGCAGTTGTATCAAGAGGTACGGACCATTGGGTAGAGGTTTTTCTTGAACGAGAAGATCGATGGGTATGCGTGGACTGTATTCATGGCAACGTTGGACACCCTCTGGAATGTTTCAAGTATGCCTCAAAGCCAGTGTGCTACATCATTGGCATTGATAACAGTGGATTTGTAAAGGATGTAACGCAGAGATACGACCCAGGATGGATGACTGCAACAAGGAAGTGTCGTGTGGATGCCCAGTGGTGGGAAGAGACCTTGGAGCCATACAAAAGTTCCTTTGTGGAACGAGATGCAAAAGAAGAAAGAGAGGTAAATAAAATGGAACTGGAGGATATTTTTCCAGTAACCAAAATTGCATCTAGAAGGACTCGATTTTTTTCTTTATTCTTTTCTGATAGGTTTGCAAAAACATGGAGCTCTCTTCTTTTATCTTGGTCTGCTTTTCATCCAAGATGTCAACTAATCTGTTCCTCTGAGTTTACCCACTAACTCAGATGTTGTGTGTTTATTCAGTTTCCCTTCAAGTCAGTTCTTGGCTGAATGACAGCCAAGCTTGTGAACTGTCCTCTTTAAATGTCCCTCAGTATGTCTGGCTATTTAGCTCGTATAACCATTAAGAGGCAAATGCTTAGACAGTCTCAAGTTTCAAAGACATCTTCCCATTGATGAAAATGAGAAATGTTCAGACCTCAGAAATTGTATATAATAATCAAATGAGCAACATTCTTTACTTTGTATTTATTTCTTTGTTTTTCAGTTTGGATGTCACCCAACATGTATGTTCTACCTTCAAAAAAACTAGTGAATTGATACTTTAATTCAATTGTACTGCATCTGATTGATTAAATTTATTTCCCACCTTTCTGTTTGTATAAATACTGTATAAGCTGAAATTAACTGGAATAAAACTATGAAGTATACAAAAGATGATATTAGAATAAATCTAATTAAATGAATTAACAAGCTTGGGAGAAGAAATGCATTTTTACATTTTCCTAACTTCTGGAAAGTGGCGGCCAAATGCACATCTTCAGGGAGACCAATTCATAATCTGGAACCACATAGAAGAAGGCCTCTAGTATGTCAATATTTGGGCAAGTTCATACCAGAAATAGTTTTAGTTGACTTGGCCTTTGAACCAAAACTCCTTACTGTACTTTCCAGCATAATCAACATAGTGAAAATCCCTTCCAGGAAAAGGGTTGCCAATGATACTTAGATAATGTCTATAATACCGATAGTTATTTACTGGTAAATACAAAGCTTTGGACTAAGGGAGGGTTAATATATCAGGCCACAATATTGTCTTTTATCTAGTCTTCCAAAAGCTGAAGAATATGTTTGTAATTGCTTTCCTATATATTCTACTGGTAATAACATGATTCCCAGTTTCTAGCTAAACTTCAAGATCAGCCTTTGCCAAAATCCATCAGTGAATACAAGAATCATCCGCTTTATGCCTTGAAGAGGCATCTTCTTAAGTATGAGGCCATATATCCTGAGACAGCTTCAATTCTAGGATATTGCCGAGGAGAGGCTGTCTATTCCAGGTGAGACATTTCTCAGGTGTATGCTATAAAACACGGCTTCATTTGGTACTCATCGCATTGTACCACTAGCAATTCCTTACTATTTTTAACATTTAAACAAGGATCTATGTTTGCACAACCCGCAATAATTGTTACTCTTCCATCGAAGTACAGAGAGTTGCCTTATCTAACATGGCAAAGGACAATTATTCCCAAATTTGACTGAACTTCAAGGGTGCAGTTCAGCACAGAAGAAATTTCCATCTACTCAGCTTCATTGAATAAGTGAGGCCTGAGTTGGCTGTTTGAGGCCCAAGAGGGCCTTGGCTGTCCATCACTAGAAGCCATAGCTTGTTTATACGAGGTACATAGGAAGGACAAATCCAGTGTTCATGGGTACGAAGCCAATATCCCTTTCATCCTTTGGCTTTTCTCTTCAAAAATGAATCTGTTTTTTCCTTTTCCCCTCTGTAACAAGGTTTGAGTTGGATACTAGGGGTAGATGGAGCTACTCCGAGTGTATCCATGAAACCTGTTTTTCTGCTTGAAAAGTCCACCTATGCTTATTTTTTCCCCCAGTCTTTCCCATTCCTACATTAAACAGTATGGGGATTTTATTCAAGTAAGCATTCAGAGGAAAGTGAGCCATTTGGTATAGTGTTCTTTATTGTATATTGTGTATATTATCTGATACATAGTTTATTGTGAATATTACCTATATGAAGCTATATTATTTACCAAGAATGGTGTTTGGGTAATTTCAGAGACTGTATCCATACCTTGCACTCCAAGGACACCTGGTTGAAACAAGCTCGAGTGGTGAGGATTGGGGAAGTGCCTTATAAGGTAGAGTGATACCAACGATATTTTCAGGGGAATGTTGAAATTTGTGGCAGGAAATATTTATGTATAAAACTTTTGAAGCTGAATAACTTTCTTTTAAAAAAAATGTTCTTTGGGGACAGATTAAAGGATTTTCCTGCCTGTCTTTTATGCTTTGTTTTATTTTGTTTTTGGTGGCTTATACCACACAATTCCCACAAGTGGGCTACTACACAGTTCCCACAAGTGGGCTACTACACAGTTCCCACAGGTAGATACTACACAATTCCCACAGGTGGGCTGAAATAGTGATAGCATTATCCTGGTGTTGCCATTAGAGGCATGATTCTCAAACCAAAAGGCAGACCAGAGTAATAAGCAGAATCTGTCAGACTTATTAGTACTGACAGACTCAGTGCTACCTAACCTGGTTTAATGGACTTCTGTGGCAAAATACTGCGAGGGGGATGTTGGGAGATTAAGTAATTCTTACTCCTAAAGAAATGGGCAAACTCCTGGTGCACAACCAAGTCCTACATGTTTCCCCATGAGGAAAAGGCTGTGATCGTTATTATGAGAATTATGAGCAAGAAGGAATTATGACGACACTCTAAATTCATCATGTTTGCACAGATGGTGAAAGGTTATTCTAACCAAGCAAGAAAAGCACGAATGGCAGAACCTGCAAATCGGGACAAAATGGACTTGCCATTGTTTGGTCTCTGGCAGACCGAGAAATACCAGCCACCTCTGGCTGTTGATGGAAGGGTAAGCTGGCAATTAGGTAGACTGGATAGGTTTTCAACTCTATTCTCCCACAGAATTTATTTCAGTGTAAGTTGTTCCAATTTCTTTCCCATTCCATTTCTCTTTTAGGTTCCTCGGAATGAATTTGGGAATGTCTACCTCTTCCAACCCTGCATGTTACCAATAGGCTGTGTGCAGCTAAACCTTCCTAGTCTTCACAGAGTGGCCCGTAAACTGGATATTGACTGTGTTCCAGCTGTTACAGGATTTGATTTTCATGGTGGCTACTCTCATCCTGTGTAAGTTATAAACTTATGATTTGGTTTTACTAGGATATACAATGGTCCTATGTGCTACCTAGTAATGCTGTTGGATTTACTTTGCGTACCTGGTTAGTGATAGCATTGCAGAAAAGCAGAATTAGCAGCTTAGTTTGAAATAGTAAGAGCTCAGCATGTGCTCCCTTCCTTACCACCCACTTTCACAAAGATGGATTAACTTGGTTTCTCTTTTACCTTTGCTTATTTAATATTTTTATATCCATATCATTCAGATGAGAATGCTAAAGCAATTAGTATTCCGTCCTATCTTTGTTAGGTAAAATTTTATGAATAAAGCTATACCCCTTCATAAGTTCTTGGGTACTTTCCATATCTAGTTTTCCAAATGTTGTTGAACGGCCTGACGTTAAATCTATTGGAGGGATGGGGAATTTGGGGCCATCCGGATGTTGAAATGTAAGTCTCAGCATCCCTGACAGTTGCCCATCCAAGGATAAATGGGAATTCGGCAACATTTGAAAAGCCAACAGTTGTTGCCCAGCCCTAAGCCTGTATAAACACAAATCCCTGAATTGTGTTTTGTTCTAAATGACAACCTGGATTTTTTTTCACAGCACAGAAGGCTATATAATCTGTGAAGAGTACAAAGAAGTGCTTGTTGCAGCCTGGGAGAATGAAGAATCAGAAAGGGAAAAGAAGGAAAAGGAGGTAAATAAGGAGAAACGTTCTGACAGTGGGAACAATCAACCAATGGAACAGCTTGCCCTCGGAAGTTGTGGGAGCGCCATCACTTGAAACTTTCAAGAAGAGATTGGACTGCCATCTGTCAGAAATGGTGTAGGGTCTCCTGCTTGGGCAGTGGGTTGGACTAGATGACCTACAAGGTCCCTTTCAACTCTGATTATCTGTTATCTGTTAGGTGAGAATCACTTGAAGTCTTTATTAGGGAGAGGGGAGAGGTGTGGACTGCTAACAGTCAGCACTCAGCAGCATCACAAACTAAATGAATGATGAATATAATTACAGATCTAGCAGACTGATAATTCCTTTGCAGCTTTTGTTAGTTTTTCTAGCCTGGTGTCATCCAAACGTGTAAAGATTACACTAAGGGAGCTTGTCCAGAACTAAGGGAGTTGTCCAGCTCAACTGGAGAGCATTATAAATTTATATCATTTACCATTTCAACTTTGAAGGTCATCCATTCTTATTAGACTCTTATAAAGCTGTCCTCAGTGATTCAGTCCTGGAAACATTTCTCTGCTTACCACATCTAACCATGTGCATGCAGAATTCATCCCTCCTTCCTCATTAAGGCTCAGAAGATTATATTTTGAAAATTTGATGTAATTTTGGATTCCCATAGATGCTATTTGATGTTGCCACAGATACTGTAATGTGTAGAGATGCTACTTTGCCAACCGCAGCGTTAATGAATATGTGCCGTTTGGTTTTAATTCTGGGTGAACTTTAAAAACAGAAGCGGGAGAAGAGAGTGCTGGGAAATTGGAAACTGATGGTGAAAGGACTTCTGATCAAAGAGAGATTAAAGAAGCGCTACTCTACCAAGGTAACAAAACATTGGTGTAATATATGGATCACAAATCTGAAGTTATTCAAGGCCGTCTAGACACTAGGGTTCATGCCCAGATAGGAGAAAGAACAAAATGTTAGTACAGATTTCTTAAAATTGAAGGTATAGTCTGAAGTAAAATACTTCTTAAGAAATATATGTAAACATACTTTGCATTTGAACATACTTTGCCTTTGAACAAGTAGAAATAATGCGTTTTTATTACTTTTGAACTGACAAGTGATGGCATTATTTCTTGATGCATAAATATTAAATTGAATAATTTGCGTGTTTATCTGAAGTTATCTGAAAGAAAGGGATAATTGGGTGTTTAGAATACGTTTGAATAGGACTGCGGGTATGCTTAACAGTGGATTCAATCATTAATTCCGTCAACAGTATGAATATCAACAATACTTTCTTATGATAATGTTAAGTGGCTTTTGACAGTCAAGCATATGTTATTTGTTGAAAAAGTATGGTCATCCATTTCAGACAGTGGGTTCTTTGGGGCCAAATAATAGAAAAAAAGTTTTGATAATGTTTGCATTCTGCTGGTTATTTTTTTTTCCTTAGATGCAGTAGGATTGTTGAAAACTGAAAACAAATTCTATTATTTGAATTTGTAAAACATTTATAATGTCAATTACTAGTTTTGTTGCAATGCCCTCCGTTAAAAGGAGAATTGTTCCACAGCATCAGTGAAATATTTTAACTCTTTCTCTTCCAGAATGAGACAAGAGTCATGATGGAAGGGGAGTCTGGTTTCTCATCTGATGATGAAGAAGGACCAAACTCAGAAACACCTGCTGAAGATGTGGCTGTTTCTTGGCCCCAAAATCGACAAGCTGAGGAACAGGGTGGGAAAGGACAAACAACCAAAAGGAGCAAGAGAGAAAAGAAAGGAGAAGCAAAACATTTGTTTCCGTTTGAGAAATTGTGACAAGGAGTTTTGGGGCTGGCTTGGATCCTGACTTAGCATAAACAAGGAAGCATTTTTGTGTTCCTCGAGTGTACATTCACGTTGAACCTTTCCTGCCAGTAGGAACAGCTAAAACAACTCAGGAAACTTCCAAACAGTTTTTCTAATATTGCATTCCTAGATGTATGCAGGCCTTGAAACAGGAAAATTGGTCTGGACTCATTGCTGGATGCCTACTATACCTTTATATTGACCAATGGCACCTACTTTTCCTAGATACTTGATAGACACATTTTCTTTAAGGTGCTGCTGATAGGTAAAGCAAGAACACCGATGTTGGAGCAAAGTAACTTTCAATGACAGATCTTAATACCTGTGAATGTATTCCTTTTCTTGGAAATTTTGCATTATTTTATTGCAAAGTAGTTAACAAGCTAGACACATGAGCTTTCGGGAAGAGTTATGAAAGGAGCATGTACACATACATGTACTCACATACATGTATGTGTACTCACAGCATTCATGTTGTGTTAGTAAAGCTGGGCTTAAGTTGTATTATATATGTAAAAAAACTTCGGGTGGGAATAAGTGAGGGGATTGATAGGAATTGTCTGTAACTTTAATAGCTTCTATTCAACTTTCAGAGGAAGCCAATGTGAGCAGTAGGCTAGTATAATTCATGGGTGTAGGACATTTGAGCAGAAGATACCTAGTTTTTAGCTGAATTTATTCCTTTCCCCTTTTCTATATCGTCACAGAAAACTCTCATGAGTCTTACCTCTTAGTGTATTGATCCTGTGACAGATTCCCATTGTAGACATTGTATAATGGTGCAGTCTGTGTGGGGCTTATTACAAAAATGGCTTGCAGTCTGCCACATGATCAGTCATACTGCAATTACTTAATTGCCTGATGTGCTATTTTGAATGTTTATATTTTGTCATGATAAGCTTAATCTATTTGACTTGACCAGACCTAATTTGGGCACTTTAAATTCAGATAAAAAATGTATACTGAATCTTGGGTAAAAAATAAAAACTTAAGTTCTGAGCACCAGTCCTTTTCCTAAGATTGTCATTTCCTTATTTAGACACTTGAACGTTGTTAGATTCCCATCTCACATGAACAATGTAGATCTTATCCTGGAAAAGGGATATACTAGCCTTCCAGTCTCCCTACAAGCCAGTCTCTCTGAAATAACAGATTTTAAAGACCTTTCAAAATATAAGGGTGGTCAGGCCAGGTATCACTCTGAGGCATGTTCCAAAATGTGAAGGACATTACTAAGAAGCCCTGTCTTGGGAGCCTATACTTCGTTTACCTCTCATGCAGAAGGAATCTTAACAGGCCCACTCAATATGTGAATTATGCTTGATCAAATTGTCCATGATAGAGCCCAATCCACTGCTGTGGTGGATTTTTATACAATAACTAGCACTTGTAACTTGTTCTGGAAGTTGAAATAGCAATATATTGAGTTTATTTCAAGCTGGGTTTTTTTCCCCCCAGTAAATGCTAATAACTTACCTAATTATACACAAATATAAAAACAGGAACTTTTAAAACAAAGCTTTATTTTTAGTTGCTGAAGTAATGTTTTCAAAGATCTTAACATTTTAAGTGTTTTTCACCTCCTTTTCACCTTTTCACAGTCCCAGTAGTTGTGACATTTGCTCTGGAATTAGCTTCAGTTATACTCTGGGTCAAGAAAGTTGAAAAGCCAAGTAATCTCTTATAAGCAGCAATATTCCTGTCAGAAGTCTGCCTCCCTTGCAAGGAGGGCCTTAAGTTATTAGACTAAAATGTTCTAAATCTAGGGTAGATTTCTTCTAAAAAAAATAACCTGGAAAAATACAGGAATATTTCAGTTTATCCTTCTTTAGTCAGGCCTCTGCCTCAAGTACTTTGTCCAGTTCTGGGTATCACATTTGAAGGATTCACATTGGAAGAGGAACAGAGAAGGCTAAAAAGACTAGAAACTAAGTCCTGTGAACAGACCTTAATACAGGTGGTTGTTCGTAAGATAAAAGATTGAAGGGGAAAAATTATTGCACTCTTCAAAAATTTAAAAGGATGTCACATATAGAATGGTCTTGTTCTTGAATATAGGATATAGAATACCTTATTTTAAATTGGGAAAATTGATTCCAACTGAATGCTAGAAGATAGCTTCCTAGCAATAGAACATTTTATGGATAAAACTTAACACAGATGACAGATGTTCCTTTGCTGGATGTGTTGAAACAGACATGTATCTGTTTGGGATACTTTATAATGGATTCCTGTATTAAACATGAGCTTGTACTTGGTGATCTAAGTCAATCCCCAACCTTTCCTGCTTGGTAGCTGTGGCCCAGGAATTAAGGAACCCTGACCTAAATGGTACCTTACCTTTAATACTGAACTGTGATTTCAAAACACATGTACAAATCATATATTTTTCTTGAAGTTTTATTCATAAAATAGAAAATAGGCATTTCCATCCATATAAACTTTTACATATGATATTCTAAAAATAAAGAATACAAACTTAGATTTTAATTGGAAGCAGCCACCATGCTTCATTCTGCACCAGTGATATAACTGACATTTTAACAAAATGACTCCATGGCAAATTGTAGTTGGACTTTAGTGAAATGACATTAGATAGCCCCAGAACAATGAATCCAAATTTAAGTTTGGGGTCCTAAATTCAAGAAAAAGGCAGGTCCAGGATGATGCTAATGAACTTTTATTTACTCCTAGGGTTTTGGTTTAGTTGTTTCTCTTAGACTAATTGATGTATCTCCAATGAGCTGAGAATAATACTGACAATTATTTTAGATATAAAGTATCGGAGCCTATCTTTATCACCTTGGCAGATTGCATCCATATAAAAGGTTTCTATCTAATCCATGTTTTTGGATCATCTCATTGCTGGCAATAATGGCTTGCAATGGGGAGTCTGTAAATTATCCAATTGAATTGAAGGTTGTGTGCACAATTTACAGTTCTGAACCCAGAAAAAGCAATGACTGAAGCTTTAGAAATCAAAAACTTTGGGTATGAGCAGTTAACATATTATTTCAGTCTTAGATTTAAAGAAATTAATTGGCTTTTATAATATGTAAGTTAACCATTTTAGCTTAGCATTATATACAAAGCACATGTCTTGTCTGGACAAAATCAACGAAGTTCTGTACAAATCTGTTGTACAAAATCAACAATTTGAAACACCCAGTTCTAAAGTGTTGCACTTTTTATTTTTTCCTGAAATCGGGCAGGCTTCAAATAAAACTTTTGTCATAGTACCATCAATACATTGAGTACCTGACCTGCTCTTCATAATATTTCAGTAAAAAACAAACATATTAATTTGCCCATGGAGCAAGTTATATGAACAGCAGAAAGTCTCTTCTCCCTCGGGATATATCTTTGGTTTTATCTTTAAAAGTCATAATTCTTCATGAAACTATCAGTAAATTACTGAGTTGGGTCAGGAAACAATTCTCAAGTCGAAGGTAAAAAAAAGTCCACCTGAGATCATAAATTATTTTACTTACTGAAAAAAATGAAGCATGGGATAAGAATAAATCATAAGATTGAGATATAGCAATCCTGAATATATAATATGAAAATAAACAGCATCACAGCAATACCAGAGTGGTGCAGGATACTTTGATCCACATATAATTCAAGATGTTAGAGATAAGGTAAGTTACCTACATGGGAATTCAGACAGAATAGTAACAACAAAAATGAAGAAAAGTGAAATATGACAAAAACTTCACAAAGTTGCATGCAGTAAAATTATAATACATGAAGTTATAGATAAGGAATAGATTAATCTTATGATTTACCCACTCTTCAAAGCCTCGTATGGTTCCCATTGAGTCCATATACCTATTATTCTGTGAAGATTGGAAGACATTTTACATACATTGCATAGGAAGCCTAATTTGCTTAGCCTTGTTACATTTCATTCAACTTTCTATTTCCACAAATTGGGGCAGTTGCACATTTTTGTTTTGTTTTCATTTGATATGTAACCTGTCAATGTGTAGACAACATCTGATTAGCTCAGCAGCCTCATGCCGCATTCCAGCATTTTTTAAAAAAGTCAATAAATTCACTGCCACTCTGAAAGACATGCTACTGAGCACCTGCAGGCCTCACTGCCTCTTCCAACACTGTCACCAAAGAGCTAATTGGCGCATCACAGATCCCTTTGAGTTGTGGCAGTGGCTAGAATGCAGTATTGTGGGCCAGGGATCCCCAATCCGTTGCATTCCAGCAACCAGGCTGCACAAACAAGCAAACCCCCATCCGCAGGATGCAGGCAAAACCACAGAAAAAACTTTCTCTGCAGATTTGGTCCCTGGTGACCAAAAGATTGGGGGCCACTGTTGTGGGCTAACTCTGCCCACAGTCCTTGCTCCTGATGGAATCAAGGTTTACTCAGCCTTCCAAGGTCAGTAAAACGAGGATCCAGACTTTTGGTAATATGCTGACTAAACCACCCAGAGATGTTGTAAAGCACTATGGAGTGGTATATAAGTCTAAGTGCTATTGCTATTTGTGCAATATTTTAAATTTATCAATGTGGTCTTTTTTACCAGCTGTGCAGGACTGGTCTAAATATATATGGATCTTAGTACCCCTGATCATGGTTTTGGACTCCTGGGAGATCTAATTCAGAAATGCTTAGTTCCTTACCCCGGGATTGCATAATGAAAATAGCATATCTAAAATGATTACAGAACGCGCTGATGTTGCATTTTCTGTACTGCAATATAAAGAAGTGTTTTGTTTTGAGCAAAAATATCCGTGATGGTATTTTCTTCAAATAAAATAAAAGCATTGAGTGTATGAAGTGTCCAAAGAAATGTGGGTACAAAGAAGATGCTTCTTCCATGATGTCACTGCTGTTTCTTTGGTGGAACCCAAGATCTTGCAATCAGAATGGGAACTACAGCCAACAAAGCAGTCAATAGTGCCCAGAAGGGCCTATAGAAGAGCCAGCCCACCGAAATGGTCAGCAATGAGAGAGAAGTGGCTAAGCAAAAGGCAAATGCTTTCAAACCAATGTTAACCAGATCCCGGACAACTGGAAACCAATCCACTGGAATAAGGAAAAATAACAATTAATAAATAAATTTCATTGGCAAGCTTACAAAAGCAAACTAAATCTACTTTAAATCTAATCCAATGCCTACCAAATTCATTGAAATTTTGTCTCTACAGACTATGGACCATTCAAAGAAGAAAAAAACAAACTTTTACTTAAATATGTTTTCAGTACTCAATAATAAAGAATAGCATTAGTATTCAATTCTCACATTAACCACAGGCTTTAATTAGCTTTGATTAGTACTTGGTTTTCATAGCTTATAGAAACACTTCCTTTACTGTAACACTGAAATAACTAATTGCTTTCCCTCACATTCCTATGAATTATCATATCTAGAGAATTGAGCCTACTGAAATGCCTCTTCAATTCTATCCCTTGGACTATTCATTTAATGCAAGCACGAGAAAGGAAAATCTTTATTTCCTCAGTCAACATTTGAGTCCAGGAACAATATTCAGCTTCACAGTAATTATTAATATTCTTTATCATGTTAGATTACTATGTTTCTTAGACCTGAAGGTATTTCGGTACAACTTTTAATTAATGCTTTATTTATAAATCATACTAAGAGGATAGTGGCAACACTTACCCAGGGTATAAATAATTCTTGTCATAAGGCTGATGCCTAAAAACATAGACAACCATCCAGCTGCACGTAGGCCCCAGGTCTTCATGCTATTACTCTCATGTTCTTTCTGAAATACTTCCTGAAATATATTTGATATTTAGTTAGCACTTCCAGTCATATACTTGGAATTTTATCAGCATCCAATTATGCTAACTCTTTTGATCAGCAGGATACACGATGCAAGTAGACACCATGCCAAGGCTTAATCTAACATAATTGGTCTGAACCTATTCCCCTCCCCTCCATAATCTGCTATCATATCCTAAGAGAAATGCTGGTTTGAACAACAACTCCTTGAACAACCCTAGGTTACAATTTGAAATTGTTTTGACAAATCATGCTTAAAATTAACTAATTTGATTAGTTGAAAATGAAAGAAATATTGTCAATTTTGTTCTCATGGCATCATCAGAGCATTTATGATGATTTTTCAACTGCAACTAAACTTCAGGTCAATATTTTTAAGACAGGATAAGAAGGATGAAAGAGTGAGGTACAGGCAAGATCAGTTTATGAATAGGTAGAATTTTAAGAAAAACAGATTTTACTTAGAACATACTAATTTTCCTCTTGATCCATCCTGCAAACAATCCCTGATAAGATCTTCAAGGCCCATGTGCCATTCTTGACATGCAAAACATTATACATTCATGCCTTTTCCTTGTCTATAAGCATTACTGTTTTTTTCTGCAGAAACTGAAAACACTTTTTAATCCATCAAAATGATCTATGCTGCTAAACAAGAAAGCAAGGCCATGCATTCATTTTTTTGAACTGGAAAAATGTCTACAAATGAAGCATCTACACTGATCAGGACTAAATTCTAACAGCAGAACTGGAGAAAAGTTAGCTTTATAGGAAGTTAACCCACACCAATTTAAGTTAGCTATTTAGGTTTTCAGATAAGAGTCTCACCATCAGGCACTATATCAGCCAGAAACCGACTCAGAGTTGTTTTATTTGTAATGATGAGCTTCAACTCTGAGCTACAGCCCTTCCATTAAGTGATAATTTAAGTGGATGTTGGGGGGGGGGGGGGAGATTTATTTACACATGTTGTGTTTGCTTTATTTAAGCAAACAGAACACGTATAACCCTTTTCTACTATTCTCCCTCTGCTAATTTGTAACCCTTACCTCAGCCGTGAGCTCTCCAAGATAGAGAATATTTAAGACATCCCCCGATTTGGTTTGGTATGGAACCAAGTGATCCTCTTGCTGACGAGCAACTATGGTCACCTGAAAAGGGGCCGAGGTGAGAAATTAAAGAAATTTGTACATTGACATTGGAGAGCTTTATCTAATTACATGAGAAGGTCTTGAAAAGATATGGAACACTTACCATATCTGGTAGAACCGTGTGTGAGAAGGCCTCACTCAAACCTGCATAGAAGAATGAAACACGAAGATCCCCAACCTGAAAAGAGACGGAAAAAAACACAAAACTGTTGGGCAACTAAAGACTCCCAATGAAGATTTTAGATCTGATTGTCATTATTCTCTGAGCCCAGGATTATCACATCCTCAAAGGATATATAAAAGTGTATGTTGAGCGGGGGCGGGGAGGAAACAGATGGACAATTGTTTATTCTCCTCTTCCATTCTTACTTCTGGACGTCGTGGATTCTCACTGTGAAAGAAGTAATCCCCTGAGCGGATCACATCGGCGTGAGGATCTTCCAATTTTGACAGGCTCATCTGCTTGAAATTATTAATCTTCTCAATGAGACCTAAAAGTAAAAGTGGGGATAAGAAATCATTTTTGACTGAGACTTATGGAGTCATTTCAGAAACTTCAATGAAGCCATGTTCTTTCAGGAGGTAGGGCCATAACATAAATTGGGCATGGCCAGAGCCTGGAACAAATAAAGCCATCCTTCATGGTGTCATGCCAGAAATTTCCTTATTCTATTCCATCTAATAAACTTTCCAAGTTCTTCCTATGAAGAAAATGGACACCAAGAAGGAATATGATAGCATTTCAAGTACCCAAATGAATGCCACATAGACGAAGATTAAGAATGTATTTTCTATCATCCCACAACATCAGATATGGAACAACTGCCTTAAATTCCACAATGACAGATTCTTGGTTAATGTTAGAAAAATGTTCCTGATGATAAATATAATTCAACTGCAGAAACAACCACCCAGAAATATAGTGGATGTCTCTTCACTGAATGTGTTCTTGAATAGCCCTAAAAGTCCATTTGTCACAGATGCCTGTTTCCTGCACTGAGCAGGAATTCAATTCAACAGCTTAAAAATAGCTTTTAATTCTACCATTCCTTAATTCTCCTGTCTCACCATGCAAATTTAAAAAGGAAAAAGCAGGCATGGTGATTGGGAACAGCATGCCTGACCACAAGAACTTACAGGCAGACTTAGCTAACTTCCAGATAAGAATGCCAAATATCTCATAGATAGAATAACTATACTGTGCTTTAGATTTAGAACATGGTACCTATTCCAAAAATCCATGAGATACTGTCTCATGGTCTGCTCCATAAAATTTAAACCACAGGAATTAGAAAAGTGTGATTTAAATTAAAATTTTATTTAGCTACTCTTCCAAATCTTAAAAAGTTGGAAGGATTTTCCCCTTATGTGCCTTATATCTTAGTATGCATATATTTAGACATATCTCAGATCCAAACTTCATACCCCTGGAAAGGAAGAACGTGCCGACTTGAACATCAGAGGCAACTGCAGTGAAAGATTCAACAGCCATGGCACTGCACAGACAAAAAGAATTACCAGAAGAATTTTAGCATGGTGGACACCAAGTCACAAAAAAGTTAGTGAGTCTTCTAGCTATCAACCACCACAAAGATGTACTCCAGTGTTTCCAAACACAACAACTAGCATAAAAGTATACCCACCAAGAAAACAGTTGGTGGGTATATATAACAGTTGCTATCCTGCTACTTTGTTTAACTTCCAGAATACAATCCCATGAATCAGTTAGAAATCTTACTCAGATTCTTAATTTAGAATCCTAAGGGCCGTATCGGAAGAGCCATAATAAAGAATACTATCAAGTTTACCTAGGGTTTTTATGTCCAATTTCTCGATCAAAATTTCTGCTATTCACAACTTCGGATTTCCATTCTGTATCTAAAAGAAATAAGAATATTAAGAATACTATCCTGATTCCTTGAAAACATCCCAGGAGTCACAGATCATGGATAGTTCCACTGTCCCTATTATTTTTCATGCATTTACATGGGAATGGATATTGATGAACATCACAAGCAGAATTCTTCTCTAAGTACATGCTAATTATGGGTTTTTTTCAGATTCTACTGTTTACGAACAGACACAAATACAGGACAAATTCTATTTCGAGATTTATTAACTGAAGCATAGAATCCAGATCATGAAAAATAATATTCCCACTCTATATTTCCCAATGTTGACTCTGGTTCTGGACACCACAGTCTAAAAAGAACAATAACAAAGTAGAGTGAAGATGGGAAAAGGTTTGGAAACTGAATCTGATGATGAACAGTTAAAGGGACTAAGTAAATATAGCCTGCAGAAGAGAAGACCGAGAAAAAGTAAAATAGTATATATCTTCTACAGGAAGGCAGCATCTCTTCCCCTACACCATCATCTTCCAAGGTTATTCTCAGATTCCTTTACACTTGGAGATTTTCAAATAGAGATAACCACTGTTTGAAGCAGGTCGTTTCCAAAGAAGAGGCTTGGACTGGATAACTATCAAGCCACCTTTCAATTCTATGATCTTATGAAGAAAATCCAATGAAAACTTGCTTTCTGTGGTCTGCAAGCACTGAAGATCAGCTTAACTCATCATAAGATAAACATAAGTAATGTGGATGCAACATCCTGGCTAAAAAGGAAAATATATGTTTGTTTCCTTCAGCATTTTGGAGTCAATTAAAAAGATTAACTGCTTAGTTCATTTTAAGAATGCAAATACAATAAAAATAATAATGTTCCAAGTTCAAAATGCCATACTGCGGTGTCCAGAACCAGAGTCAATATTAAGAAATATAGTGGGAATATTACAGTATTTTTTATGATCTGGATTCTATGCTACTGTTATAGATAAAATTAGTAACTTCTCCTCTTTCAGTGGTTCTCCCTTATAACAGCAACATGACAGTAAAAATTCAACAGACACCTTTCATCATCATTTTTTGTAGCTGCAAGGTCAGTTCTTTCCTAGCTGGAGAAGAGGAGCCTGATATTAAAGCCATACCCAGTGATTGTTTTATGAGACAAAATTTTATACTAGCAAACTTACTATAAGAATATCTTGTTTCTTTCTTTACTTCACCATTTTCTTCATATTCTCTATGAGAAGGGAGAAAAAACATCATCAGATAAGCATAAAGTACTGAAAAGTACTTTACACAATTTTACTATAAATAATAATTTAAATTTAAATTAGCCAAATTTTTAACTAATTCGTGTGAATGTGAATGCCCTCATAGGGTGGTGCTCCCATTACTATCATTTTAAAAGATTTTGTAGAGCTTTAGTAAATCATTTCCAAGTCATAAATATATCAACTTTTGAAACTTTATATCTCACAGTTCACTAAAAAACGTAGGCCTTCTTTCCAGAGAAGGAACTTTATAATTAGTTCATTGTTTGATGTTTTTTTGCCTACCCTTCTATGTTCTTGCATCTTACTATAGCACAATCTCTCTCTTGTCTAAAGCTTAAATAATAACCCTTTCCAAATAAGAGAACTAATCTGAATGCATGAGGATATATATTTGGATTTGAGATTAATGAAACTAGACAAAGAAGATTATTTATCTAAAAGACAAGTTACATTTCTTCTGCCTCTTTTCCTTCTGGGACTTGCTAGTTCAAACCTTCACTGAAAATTTCTCATCTACATAGGCTATCTAATAAATACACCTATCCTTGTTGGGCCTGAGAAATCTGAAAGAGAGCCAAAAGTCCAAGTTTCATGCTACATAATGCTTCGCTGTAGCACAGTTTGGCATCACACCCAAGATGAGATATGGAGGCTGCTGTAGGCATGACAACTGTTGGCTATTTTCCTATCACCTCTCAGGTGCTCATTCTTTCCAGCCCAGAAGCCAACTATAAACAAATGACTCATAATTCTGTATTCATTCCCTCTTTATAGCTTTGAATCACTACAGTAGTTATTATGGGGGGGAGGGGGGGATAGATACCAGGTTAAATCAAGCGATTATTATATTTCCCATGGATAAAAAAAAAGTCAGCCAGGAAAAATAATAATAAATACGCCAATATTTTTTTAATCCTAAACTGGATTATATAAAATTCTAAAATTCACACAAATCTGTCCCACTGTCATCCTTAGAAACATGCACACAGTTTAAGACAGAGAAAACATGGATACTGTAAGCATCTTACTTGGAATCTTCATATTCAACCCACTGATACATCTCCACCTGACGTTTGAGCTTGACTGCCCGGATAGAAACCCCATAGCTGGGATCATATAGAGGCTAGCAAATGCAAATAAACATCAGTTATAAAGCTATTTTCTACAACGACTTCCTTAGATGTTCAGCATGCACAGTAGGGGAGGGAAAAAGATACAATTTTTTCCCCACAAGTCATTCAATCTAGCAGAACAGAGGATTGCTTGATTATGTGTCATCAAGTTGTTTTCTATTGCTAGCAACCATACAGCTTTCCTCCATGGCAATCTGTCCCTAACCTGCTCTTTCACATGCCCCAATGTTGCACTCATCGCCACTGTAACTGAGTCCAGCCATCCTTTTCTTGGTTTATCATTGCCTTTTCCAATGTAGTATTAATTGACGCCTCATTTATCTCTGGCATCTTTTTATATTTTCTCGCATGAGAAAAGTGTACCTTCTTTCCCCTGTCCTTACCACTGTCCATGGAGGGACAATCAAGAGCATCCTGTCCTATTGCATTACAGTCTGGTTTGGAAGCATGACTACTTCAGACAGGTAGGCAGTGCAGGGAGTGGTGAGGATGGCAGAAAAGATTGTTGGTACTTCACTCCCTTCTATCCAGGGCATATAGCATATAAGCGATGCTTGAGCAGTGGCCACAAGATTGTCTGGGACGCTACACATTCTCTTCACAATCGGTTTTCCTTGTTACCTTCTGGGAGGAGGCAGGATCCGAAGCAGAACCTCCAGATTCAGCCACAGTTTTGTTCCATACTATATCAACCTTGAATACTCTCAAGCTTCCTTTTTCCGCTATGTATTCAAGATGGGCAGTGATTAATATTTATATGTATTTATATGTTAGGGTGTAGGTATATACATATGCATGTATGTATGTAGCATATCTATATGTAATTGTGAAAGCAGCCACAGAATTTCATTTTTAATGTTTTGTCAGAGTGCCCACAGAAAAGAATGACAATAAAGGTCATATTGCTATTGTCCATTTACTGGTGCCATTTTGCTTTAGCTCAGCACCTGGGATGATCTTCGTGGCTTAGGTGGCTTTGCTGGGAATATATATACTCTTGACATACACTCCCAACATCCTTTGCTTATCCCGCTCAGAAACAACACCCCCACCCCCCAGCAACACAATGAGTCAGCACAGCAAGACTTGGGGGCGGGGATGGGGGAGAAAGAGACAGAAGAAGCAATGCATTTAAAAAAATCTTTAATGTGAAAAGATGAAGCAAGTTTTGGACTAAGGAAATTTACCTTTGATGTTCTAAGGACACCAGATAAGTGCACAAGTTTCTTGTCATTCTCATGGGATACAATCTGGATGTTGTCAAGTGGGACAACTAGAGAAAGACCCTCAGCCAAAGAGGAGGCTGTTTTCAAAGTTCGCCCCTAGGAATGATGAAATGAGAAATAAAGTGGTTCAAGTAGACCTTTGAAGTAAGGACTTGTCCCTACAGCATCATGCTGAAATCATCACACAGATGAGATTTTCTTTTAATGAAAATTCATTTATACAAGAAAAAAATAAAGTACTTTGCTTGCAGGAACTCAACGATCAACTTTTCTTCTTTAAATAATCTAATCCACTAATAATATCTAGGAAGACAGGAAGCATACAGGGTTTATGCACTGATTGTGCAAAACAGCTTACAAAAACTATTTTGTAACTATTTGGCAAAAGGAACCATTGAATTAAAATTCTGAGTTTGATGCCAAATATTAAAATGTGAACTATACATATATACAGGATTGTAGATTTCCTTGAAACTGCATTTTAAAAAGGTTAGTAGTCTTCATCCCAAAGGTGCTTTTTCAAAAGGCAACTGGACTTTCTATTGTTTTCCTTTGAAGACGTTTCACTTCTCATTCGTTTCTTCAGTTCTGAGAATTGTTGAGAACTGAAGAAGCTTCTTGGATGAGAAGCAAAATGTCTTCAAAAAAACAAAAACAAAGAAAGTCCAGCTGTCTTTTGAAAAAACACCTTTGGGACATCCATGACCTGGATGACTGAGAGTCTCCATCGTCAGAACTATTCATTGCTTCATTCATAAAAGAACATGCCGTAAGCATTTTGCAAGAGAAGTGTTTCAGCCTTGAAACAGCTGAAATCTGACATTTTGACTCATTCTCTCTCACCTCATTGGTGAAAAGAATGTAGAAAGACAGGGCAAAGGTGGCGAGGCCAACAAGCATCCCTCCAGAAGTCTCACTCAGGCGCTCCAGAAACCCAGGCTTATGCTCAGTTGTGGTCTTCACATGCTCATTCTTTCCACCCATTTCAGAGAACTACTGGAAAGAACAAAAAGAGTTATTGAACAGCACATCTGTTTCCACCAGCTGTTATAACTCAAGTACATGTAGTGCTCAACTTACTAGCGTTTGTTTAGTAACCATTTGAACTGTTTGAAGTTACAACGGCACTGAGGTCATGTGATCACCATTTGTAACCTTCCCAGCCGGTTTCTGACAAGCAAAGCTGTTGGGGAAGCCAGGTTTGATGAATGATTACATGATTTGCTTAACAACTGCAGTGATTCTCTTCACAACTATAGCAAAAAAAAAAGTCGCAACATGGAGCAAAACTTACTTCATAACTGCCTTCCTTAGCAATGGGAAGTTTGGGCTCAGGTGTGGCGTAAGTCAAGGACTACTGTAGAAATTGGCAGAGTAGCAGCAGCTACAAGAAATTCTCTAACTAGGAAATCTACCAATAATGAAAAACATAGCTGCACTTACTGGTCTTACTAGTGACGGTAAGGAGGCAATGGTGATTTCTCAAGGACAAGAGGTAAGGTCAGAACATACGGTACATTTTCACCTGATGAGCAAAAATACAACTGCATCAACTGGGACCTATTTTGGAGGGCAGAAACTCAGCTGTAGTGCTATCCACAGATGGAAAAAGACTAACTTCCCTATTTTCTTGGAAGTACTCTTTCAATCCAATTTTCCTTCTGCAGAACCACAATTGGCATTAATTAGCTTCACTTACATCACTGATTTCTGTGACTTAGAATGAACATCATTTCAGAGGCCTTCCAAGTCTCTGTGGCATCTTTGGAAAAGGTATGCCCAAAACTAGTCTATTTAGTTGCTGATTTTTGTAGTGTAATCTCAAAATGCTGGAGTGGATTTAGGGATGACACGCAGCCCACAAGCTATGTTTGTCTACCTCTGACTACATTGCATGAATCTTGCCATTAATATTTCTTGCTACTGTCTAGTGTGTGCACAAAGATTTCTTCAATAAACCATAGAAAAAAACACAAATTCAGCTAACCGAAGAGCCAGATACCATATGCTTTCACATACCATCCCAAACCAAAACTGAATAAAATGTATAATGCTTATTGTAATGCATGACTTTCCAGTATAAAGCCATAATATTTATAGAAGCTTCTTCTCAAAATTAGCAGGTTATAGGTTTACACAGTACAATTTAAAATTTGCATTAAGGAAACAATAAGGCTATACTAATAAATATTTATTACATATAAATAAATAAGGCATGCTGTGGACCATGAGATCACAGAGTCAGACAAAACTTAGCAACTGAAGCACAACAAAAGCAATAACAAAATTCCTATCATCCAATTTAAAGATATTTGTAGGTGTGTCTATGCCATAATATTTTGTAATAGTTGCTTAGAGCAACATGTATGGAACAAAGATACGTAATTTTTGACAGAGCAACAGCAAAGTAATCTGTGAAAAGAAAATCTGCACAAACTTTGGATTCAATTAGAAGAGGCTCTTCAGAACTTTCAGAAGTAGAATACAACATCTACCTACAACTCTTTGAAAAAATACAGATTTGTTCCCAAGAATATCTTGGTTGCCATGAAAGCCTCTTTACAGCAGTCACACTATGCTTGAAAAAGACATGGGTGTTTTAATGAGTCATAGTACTCAGGTGTTGCTCCCATGCTTACAGAAACTCCTCTTCCAAGGTTAATCTGAAGTAAAGATGTTATTGTAGTGATCCATATATATATCCTTTGCCATGGCAAACAAAACAGGATCAAGTCTAAATATCAAAACACAAACAGAAGAAACAAGGGCAGTCTTCTGCAGGAAGCATATTTTTCTTTTTCTTTCTTTTATTCTCAGATTATGTGCCTTCTGAACTAAATCAGCTAGAAATAACATTAAATTAGTTCTTTATTAGCCAATTCCTTACTAGCACAAAAACTTTTTAATAGCTTAATAAGAAAACTTCTGCAGATTTTTGAGTTATATTAATCATCACTTTTAATATACTCAGACATGACTTTTTTAGAAATATAATTTTATGCATGCCTTCTTAGAAATAAGTCTCATTCAGTTCAAGAAGTTACTTTCAGTTAAGTACAGTAATACAATGCTGTAATACAGCTGCTGTCCACAGTCTCAATCATGTCATTTGTTTACCCAGGGGTGGACATTGTTATGGTGAGTAGAAAGTGAAAGCCCAGACACTTCAAAACTTAAGGTAGTAGCAACTACTAAACCCAATCAGAAAAGTTTGTGCCAGAATGCAAACATCGGAATGCATTAGGCCCATTTTAAACACTGCAAGTGACAACACTCCAGAACAATTTACAAGACGACGCCCTTTTCCATGGGAATGTATGTGCATATTGGAAGCAGCATGAAATCAAGCAGAAACCCTTACATGCAAGCTCATTCTGTCAAATCATTCAGCAGCAACCACCTTATCCTTGTGCAGAATTTGGTCCGAAGGGAAAAACTATTCATTTTTCATGCTTGCTAACCAAAAATAGCGAGATCCTATCACCATCCCTTGGATATAGCAACTGTGTTTCTCCTAAAAATAAAAAGAAAGCCTTGACTGACTGATTTGCCAGTTACCCTGCCTCTTTCCTCTGAAATCAGGTGCGGTGGATTGCAGTCCTGGCTGTCCACACCCATGAAGAGATTACTTGTTTCTTACTGGTTGTATACTTTTATTTATTAGTATTTCTATGCTACAGAATAACAGAATATCTCAGTGGGCAGGGACTTTGGACGTCTTTTAGTCTACCCCACTGCTCAGACAGGAAACCCTACCATTCCAGACAAGTGGCTGGTTTTAAAAACTTCCAATATTGGAGCATTCACAACTTCTGGTGGCAAGTCGTTCCGCTGATTAATTGTTCTCACTGTCAGGAAATTTCTCCTTAATTCCAAGCTGATTCTCTCCCTGATTAGTTTCCATCCATTGCTTCTTGTTCTGCCTTCGGGTGCTTTGCAGAAGAGGCTGATGACCCCTTCTTCTTCCCATTGCCGCTTCCTATGGCAAGGAACTTCCAAACTTTTTTTCTTAATACAAATAGAGTGGGAAAAAGCCCATACTTACATATATCGGCGCGCTTGGAGCTTTTGTTAAAAAATGCACCAACTCCTTGAGCTATACTTAAAAGTGGAAGGAAGAGATCTGATGCCCGAAGGAGATGTAACGCCCAAAAAAAGATATCTACAGATCTCTCTCTCTCTCTCTTTCTAGCACTCGCAGCGAGCTCCGCCCTCCTTCACAAACCCGGGATGGCCCGTGCGCGCGCGTGCGTGCAGAGGCGAAATGTGGGGTGGGGATATAATGTGGAGCCCAGAGGGAAATTAAGTCTCTGACCCCGCCTATCCTTCGCAAAGCATTGCTGGGAATATCATTGAACTTTCTAGGCGGGAAGGAGACGCGAAACTGAGAACCAGTCAAGGTCGCAAAGCCTGTCGGGAAAACGGCGGAAGGACCGTTTCTTCCGCACAGCCTCTTGGAACATGTAGTCCGTTATGAATAACGGCTCTTAGCCGGTGTTCCCCGTTTGTTTTCTCTCTCCCCGCCTCCCCAATTCTACTTCGGGCCACTCAGGAGAAGAAGAAAAAAGCGCGCTCTAAGCTGTCGCGGAGGCCTCCCGATTCGTGGGTTCTTCTGCGGATGTGAACAGCCGGGCGGGGAGGAGAGAAGCGCTCAGGCGGCTTCAGGGCTTCTCTTTTGGGTCCTTTCTCCTATCTGTCTAGAGGTTGCCGCGAGGGGGACTTGCGAGCGCGTGTGGAGGAGAGAGGAGCGCGTTTAGCTAGGCTGCAGCCGGGCAGCCGCGACGGATTAAGCGGGTCGTTCCGTGGGTCACTTCGGAGTCGCTCCCAGCTCGGCCCAGATATGTCCTACTGCAGGCAAGAAGGTACCGGGGACGCGGGAGGAAGGGGAGGTGGGGAACGGTCGGTCGGGCTCCTGGGCGCAGCCGAGCAGAGCCGGCAAACGGGTCTATGCCCCAGCTGGATCTTTAGAGAGCCCAATAGGAACGGTGGGCCGGGCGAAAGGAGCGTGGAGGCTGGCATGAGAGACGGCTGGGTGACTTTGAGCCGGTCATTCTCTCTCAGAAATGGTGTAGGGTCTCCCGCTTTTTTGGGGGGGGGAGGTGGGTGTTGGACTAGATGACCTATAAGGTCCCTTCCAACTCTGATTATCTGTTAGCCCAACCCACCGCACAGGGTTGTTGTTAACGGGGGGAATAGGAGGAGGGAAAAGTATTACAGGTAGTCCACGACTTACAACGGTTCGTTAAAGTGACCAAGTTACAACAGCACTGAAAACAAGTGACTTGTGACTCTTTTTCCCACAGTGAACTACCTTTCCAGCATCCCCCTGATCCTGCGATCAAAATTCAGAGGCTTGGCAACAAGTTCATATTTATGACCGTCACTGTCTCCTGAAGTCACGCGGTCCTGTTTTGCGACCTTTTGACAAGGAAAGTGGATGGGGAAGCCAGATTCATTTGGTTGCTAACTGATCAACTGCAGTGATTCACTTAAGAACTCAGGCAAGAAAGGTCGTAAAAAAATTTTGGGGTGGGGATTCACTTAACAAATGTCTCATTCAACCACCGAAATGTTGGGCTCAATTGTGATCGCAAGCTGAGGACTACCTGTATTACCTATATTACAGGTAGTCCTCAACTTATGACCCAAATTTCAGTTGCTAAGTGAAACATTTGTTAAGTGAATTTTGGTCCCCTTTACAACTTTTCTTGCCACGGTTGTTAAATGAATCCCTGCAATTGTTAAATTAGTAACACGATTGTTAACTGAATCTGGATTCCCCATGGACTTTGCTTATCAGAAACTTATCATAAAAACTGATCACATGAACATTATAATTGTCAGTTGCCACGTGTCTCAATTTTGATCCCGTGATCATGGGGAGTACAATGCTCATAAGTATGAAAAACAGTCATAAGTCACTTTTTTCAGTGCTGTTGTAACTGTGAACAGTCATTAAATGAACTGTTGAAAGTCTATGTCTACCAATATATATTATCACCACCTTGAATTGCCCCAGATAGATAAAATGTGTCCTTGACTTTAGTGACCGTTCAAAGTTACAACGGCACTGAAAAAAGTGACTTATGACCATTTTTCAGAGTTATGACTTTTGCAACGTCCCCATGATCCAGGGGTAGAATGCTACCAGTTCTGCCCGGTTCTAAAGAACTGGTAGCTCTGAAGAGCAGCAGACACTGAACCCATTCTGTGTTTGCTGCTGTTTAGCCCACCCACCCGTCCAGGATATTACCTGTCCTTTATTTCCTGCTTTTTCAACCTGAGCTGCTTTGCGCGGCACAGCTGAGGTTGAAAAAGCAGGGAAAAAGAGGCTTTTCGAATGCTGCGCCCCTGCGCACAGTGCTTTTCCGCTGTCCGGGTGGCACAGCATAAGGTTGTTTTACACATGTGTGCATGTGCATGCAAATGTTACCGAACCGATAGTAACACCAGGTGAATCCCACCCCTGCCATGATCACATGATCAAAAATTCAGATGCTTGGCAACTGTCTCATGTTTATGATGGTTGCAGTGTCCCAAGATCATGTGATCACCTTTTGCAACCTTCTGACAAGCAAAGTCAATGGGGCAGCCAGATTCATTTAACAATCATGTTACTAATTCAACAACTGCAGTGATTCATTTAACAACTGATAAAGATCGTAAAATGGGGCAAAATTCACTTAACAAATATCTCATTTAACAACTGAAATTTTGAGCTCAATTGTGGTCGTAAATTGAGGACTACCTGTAATATTAATAAATAATCCACATCCTGTGAGGATACCCTTTTACATCATTGGAGAAAGAACACCTGCCTATCCCAGGTCTTTGGTAAGGATTCTATAGGTGGATAAAACTAACCATTCCGGAGTTGTGCAGTGGTTAGAATGAAGTTCCGCAGGCTAATTCTGATGACTGCAAGCTGCCTGCAATTTGGCAGTTCAAATCTCACCAGGCTAAGGTTGACTCAGCCTTACATCCTTCCAGGGTGGGTAAAATGAGGCTGACTCTATAAATCGCTTAGAGAGAACTGTAAAGCACTGTGAAGCCATATATAAGCCTAACTGCTATTAATATTGCTATTCCAGTCTGAGTGACTGACTGCTACTCCAGTCTGAATTACTGATATATCAATTTTCTGGCCAGAAGAAAAATGAATGTAGGTGCTTCATTAGTACATTCCTGCAGCAGCAAGATTGTGAAGTTGGATCTAAATCATCATCATCTAGAAATCATCTGGTTCTGCAGGACCTGGCATTGTCTTCCTGCCTCCTTTTGGTGGTGGCACCATCTGTTTTCCAGGGAGATGTTTCTTTCCTCCACCAACCCTAGCATGTGTGTGAGAAAGAGATGGCTTTCACAGTCTGTGCACCTTATCTGCAAATAAAAAAAAAAATCTAAATGACACTTGGGAAATAACTTCTATAGTGCAATCTCCTGCCTCAGGATGTGCAACTAGGGAAATTGGCAACAACACACATCTCTTTGAGGTAGATCATTCTCACAAACCATAAAGATAATCCTTGAGTACAACCTCCCATTTAGCAATTGCTCTTGGCAATTACCGGTGTACTTGCTCCCACGTATACTAGTTGCAGCTATATCATTGACATTTGTGACCTTCCCTGCCAGTTTCTCACAAGCAAAATCAATGGGGAGACCGACAGAGTCACAAACCATTCCCATAATTGCTCCTGCAACTTATGTTTCTCCTGTAGAGCTCTACCATGGAGTATGACAACCCCTTCCCCCATTTGTGTGCACCAGCATGTCCATGCTTCCTAGCATTACTCTGCCATCCCCTCCGGCCTTCCTGCAGCCCTTACCAGCCCATCTGCATTCCTAGCACCTGTTGATAGCCCCTGCCTGTATTTCTAGAGCCCACCCCCACACCCCGCCAGCCCACCCTTACTTGCGGCACCCCTTCCCCTGCCGTGACATCTACATACCCCCTGTGATTCTTCCCACTGAAGTGCCTGCACAATTCTTAGGATACAATGGCAACTGAGGCTTCTGGAATTGCTGTCGTTAAGTGATGTGGTCATATGATATCACTCTTGATTGTATTGCTTAGTGATAGTAATCCCAATCCCAAATTGCTATTATAACCTGAGGACTACCTATAAACATGCTCCTTATTTAAAAATAATAAGAACAAAAAAGATCATTTTAGTTGTCATTTATTTTCTTATTTATATTTATATAAATAATATATTTATCATATTATATATTTATCAAGTCTTGTAAGGTACTTGATGGCAAAAGAGATACTGTAACATGTAGAACTATTCAAATAAAGGGTGAAATTTAAAAAGTATTCCCAATAGAACCTTATATAGGAAAGGATACTAAGTGCTGGGCATACTTAACTCAGATCCAAGTCTGGTAGGAAGTGGTACCATCTTAGATAAAGGCTGAGAGTATATACTGACAATTATCCGACAAAGTAAACATATGCAGGAAAGAAAATTAAACTTAGCATGATTCTTTGCCATCTTTCTATTTTTTTTCTCTGGGGAGTAAACTAAATAATACAATCAATAAACTGGAGTAGATGTTAATTTAATTTAATGTCAAGATATACACGGCTTACATTGACGTATCTCCAGGGCCCAGTGTCATCTGCTAATGAACTTGTTCAGAAGCTTATGGTAGATCATACATTTACCTGCTCTTCTAATATTGTGTATGCTTTCCTCCTCCTCCCCCACCACCCAATTTTTAGGAAAGGACAGAATTATATTTGTGACCAAAGAAGACCATGAAACTCCAAGCAATGCTGAATTGGTGGCAGATGATCCCAATGATCCTTATGAAGATCATGGTCAGTGGAATGTAAATAACGTGTTTTGTGTCTCATTGAATAATGTTGAGATTTGCATTTGACTGCATTGCTTAGTGATGATAATCCAGGCAGTCCTCCTTGTGTATGTGTGGACACAGTGAGGTAAAGCAGAAAGGGTGCAGGATACATGTATGTATGTTTACAGTCACAGGGAAGCCAAGGAAAAAGGAACCATGATACATGTGTGTGATCACAAGGAGGCCAGGGAAAGAGCACAGAGTACATAGGTGCCATTGCAGGACAAAGAAAGTTGTAGTGTGTGTGAAGGATCACAAGGAGGCCAAGGAAAATAGATGTGGGAGTTCGTGCGAAGGAAAGAGGGCGCGCAAAGGAAGGCCTGTAGAAGTGACAGTTATCCATTGGTTTGGCTTGGGAAAGCCAGCAGGAAAGGTCACAGATGATTATGTGACTGCAGGATACTGCATCTAGTCATAAGTGGGATCTTTTTGCCAGGCCCTTGAATTGTATTCACGTGACCACAGGGCTACTGTAATAGCTGAATATAATACCAGCTGTAAGTCCCTTTGTTCAATACCATTGTCATTTCAAACAGTTATAATTCAAAGACTACATGTATTGCACATCTCATTGTAAAAAATAGCAGGCAATCATTTAAATCATCTTTTGAAACAAAGACATAATCTAAATAACTCTTGGCTATACAGAGTAATCTCTTTGGTATTTTAACTCTTCCATGTTTGATATGAATACAATAGAACCTCAGGTGACGACCGTAACCTGTTCTGAGAATTTGGTTGTCACTGGAAGTGCATGCACGTAAAAAAAAAGGTGCAACGTGGAAGGGCAAGTCACCGCAGCTGTGTTTGGTTGCCACTCAAGTACCTATTTGCGACCAGAGGTAAAAAATGTTGGTCGTGAACAGAAGCATTCGCGACCAGAGGTTCTACTGTATATGCAAATTGTGTGGATGATACTGAGTATATAACAGTTTTCCTTAATTATGCTTGAGAAAGCATAATTTGCAACAAAATGACTTGCAGCCTATTGAGGTATAATAGTAACCTATGTTTCCATTTCATGAGAATGAGTTTTCACTTACATACCTTGTGTGCTAAGACTATTACCATTTGTTCCAATTTATTTACATTTTATTCAAAAAAGGAGTTCTGATTGTGGGTGAATCTAGAGGTATAAAATACATCTCATCCTCATTAACCTGGAATAAGATAGAAGTAGACACTTATAATGTATGGAGAATATTCATTATGACAAAGTTGGAGAGCCTCTGTATAGCAGTATTAAAAAAACATGCAGATTGTCATTTTGCATTTTCAAAGAAAAACAAAAACGGATTTTTTTATCAATTAAGAAATACATTTACTGTTTTTAATTAGTTATATTTAACATATGTTTCTATATGATTGACATATTTCCTACAATCTAATGTGCAAAAGTCATTTTTGAATTGAGTTCATTCATAGTCGGGTGGCACACAAGTAATATTTGAAAATGTTAGTGAGAAATCTGTATTTCAGTCTTATCGCTAGAGGGCAACATTTTCTCACTCTTAAGAGTTCAAACATAGCTATGTTGGCTGTATTCTAGGTAAGATCCTGTTTGAGCCTTATTTCCTAGCATATACTTCAGTCACATGGATTTGGCTGGTAATGGACACTGTTTTATGTATTGTCCAGAGCTAAGCACCTTATATATTAAACTTATAAATAGATATAATGAAGGGTGTACATTATTGAAAAGGATTATATAACATTCTTTGCTTTTGTAAATAGAATCAAGCCCCTGAATTAAATCAGATATTTCAAACTTTAAAAGCCTAGAAAGTATTTCATAGAAAAACACTGGATTCATTTGAATTAATACTGAACACCAGTTTTTCCTTGACTATATCTCTGAAGCTATGTAGCTCCTAGGGGGCAGTGCTCATCTCTTGCTTCTTAGCCGAGAGAGAGCCACAGTTGTCCAAATACACTTCCATGGTCATGGGGCCAACACAGGGATGGGATTCTACTAGTTCGCACCTATTCACTAGAACTGGTTGTTAACATTCTAAGCAGTTCAGAGAACCGGCTGTTAGAAGAAATTACTGGCCTAATCCTGTAAGGAAAGCAGGAAGGAAACATTCTGGTGTTGCTTACAAAAACTGCCTCTCCGTTAACCCTTATTACATTCTTGGCAGGACTAGACTTCCTATCTCAGGAACTTCTCTGAAGTTTTTTTCCCCTCCTTTGCTGGTACTTTGCTTGTGTGGAGTGACCATTCAAACTTACAATGGCACTGAAAAAAGTGACTTATGACCATTTTTCACACTTAGGACTGTTGCAGCATCCCCACAGTCATGAGAGGCCAGGCGAGGAGATGCATGCCTCAATGTGAGTGATGTTGAGTTGGCCAGGCCCAGCCAATATAACATGACCACCAAGCCATGTCCACCCAGTCACATGACCACCAAGCCATGCCCACCAACTAAGCCACACCCACAGAACCAGTTGTTAAAAATTTGAATCTCACCCCTGGGCCAACATGACTATATGCAGAAGCACATGGAATGCTATTAGCTTCCCACTGAAGTGATACTACTTTATCTACTTGCATTTGCATGCTTTCAAACTGCTAGACGGGCAGAAGCTGGGGCAAGTATGCTGTGCTCAGATCTTGAACCTGGGCTATCAGCTTTCCACCTGACAAACACAGTGTATTTGACAGCTGAAAACAGCTAAAAAGCAATATAAAAGCAGGTAAAAAACCAGTTAAGGGCTTGAGAAGAGGGGATTTCACAAGCCATCTCTCAGGTAGCCAGCCCTCTCATGGAACCCTCCAGGGATAGTTTAAAGCAATACAGGTAGTTCTTCCTTAATGACTCCTATGCCTTTTCGGGACATAGCTAATCTAAGTTTTATACAAACAATATTAGGATAGTGAAAAAGTCATTTTTTCTGTAATAACAAGGCATTTATAATGCATTTAATCCAACTCATGCTTAGCACCTTGACAGGCATAAAAAGGAGATGTTGTAAGAAAGATGAGCAAAACATTTTGAGCCCAAAATGGCCATTTTGAATGAAAAAAAAGATATGCACCGAGACTTTCATTTTGAGGTTGAAACAAAGGACTCCGTTTTATTTTGGTCCTAGACAAAGATTTGGGTGATTGTGTTTTGAGAGTTTTGCAGCTAAAAAAACAAACTTAAAATGGGATGTTCCAGTTTCGGTGTTTGAGTGTTTCAGGGTTGAAATAAAACATAGTCATGTTCCAGGAATTTTGCTTTAATGTGAGAACAAAACACTTCAAATTTTGTTTTGACAGAAGACAGTGGAGTCTGCTCAGACAGACAATATTTAAAGTGGGACTGTTTTGTTTGGAATTCTTAATAAAATACATTTCCTATTTTGTGCATGTGTAAGCTGTGGCATATTTTGCAGCAGAATATAAAACTTTTCAATAATTGTTTTTATTATACCACTCAATTTTATTTCCTGTGTTTGTAAATTTCTTTCATGCTTTCATTATTTTTGTGTTTTGTTATTTCTCATCCTGAGCTCTTATTTCTGAATCATTAATATTATCACATGAAACAGTATGTTTAAGTGCTGCCTACTAAATGAGGTTATTGCAAGGGCTGCTACGTCAGGAAGATACAATAAAATGATATAAGATACTAGCGAAGATGTTTAGTCAGAAGCATAATTTTAGTTATATAATTGGAAGCAGCCATTCTTAGAGCATGCTAGCCAATATACTTCAGAGCAAGACACTGAAAATGACTTTCAGCCTTGACGTGATTGAAGTTAACCTTGCACCCTTCTTGAGATGAAAAGAAATTGCTAGTCCCTTTCCCCCAGCTCTTAGACCTTAAGTGCCATCTGTATATTATAGCCAAAGGATGTGCAGAAATCCATCTTTCAGCTTTTCTAATTTCAGACAGGCTGTGTTGCTGGCCAGGAGCCAGGACTGAGCATTTAGAATGGATAGAAATGATCTCTGCTTTGTGACTCCTGCCACAGCTTCTAAAGGTTTGAAGTAAAATTGCTTATTGGCCATGAATACACATATAAACACAAAGAATGAATGAAACTTCCCTCCCAACCCTTCTATTCGCCTTTGTGAAAAGCAGGTCTGTCCAGAGGAAAAACAACATGAAAAGCTGAATGCAATTTTTTAAAGAAGCAATTCCTTGTTTCCAAATAGAAGTGCCAATTGACTTTATAGAAATGGAAACCAAATTAATCCTATAAATCTACTTGCAGCTGTGTGTCACAAGTGACTATAAGAACCCATTTTCAGCTTTCCTGGGGCATCATTGCTCTTCTGAACCATCTGGGTGTCCTCCCCCACCCCTTACTACATTAGAGAACCAAGTAGATTTTATGTTTGTTACCATTTGACTTGTTGAAATGGTAGCTGAGGAATGCTTTGGTTTGTACTCTATGAAAAACTAACTTAACATACCAATGTGAAGCTCACTCAGCAAGCCAAAACTAGTAATTATTTTTCCTATAGTTGTGATGTGCCTCTTCAATGGTCATACCTATAAAATATGTCAATTAGAAAAAATCTGTACAAAAATTAGAGGTTAGGAGTGATGGGTTTTATAATGGACTGAACTTTTGTTCATATAAGTTTTCTTTTTATCATACTAGAACAAACTAAGTTAAAACTTTTAAAACAAACTACAAAAATGAACAAAACTACTTACTGAAAGAAAGAAATATTTTTCCTTTCGTATATGTTAATATACAAATATTACTTGGAAAATGTTGCTATTACCTTCATGTAATCTTAATATTTAATATGGAAAATAGTTTATTTAAGTTAACAGACAATTGAAAGTACAATGAAAACAGAAAAAGAAATAAAGGAGCAAAAAGAAAAGTAATTTACAAGCTGTATTAAATTGAATAAAGTTTTTGAAGTAATGTTAGGTTAGTACTGTAAGTTTTGTGTAAATTTAGCACTTCAAAATCATTATTAAAATCAAATGAGTATTCAATAATTAATAAATCATTCAGCATAATCAGTCTTAGTGGATAATTAATATCTAATGTGAGATAGTACCTTTTTGGTAACAAATTAGATAAGATCTAATAATTTAAATCTTTATATTAAGATCCCCCAATTCTTTCAAAAGCATAGACACAAGCAGGATGATATATTGGTAGAAATCTGTGGCTCCATAATACTGAATCCTTTAAAATATGTGTGTCACAGGCAGCCCTTGCTATTCATGGGAATTATTTTGTAGCCAAACAAAAGAATGGATAACAAAACAGCAAAAAAAAATGGATAGCATGGACAACAAAACTGCAAAAAAATGCTTTTTGCATATCATGTGCAAAAATCCATCTGCCATTCTGCATATGCATAAAGTACACAAAAAGCTTGCCAATAACAGCAGATATAATAAACAAATAATAAGGTTTGGTTTATATTTTTCAAGCACTATAAAAAAAAGGATAATAAGTGCCACTTGTCTGCTTCTATAGTTTGTCTGTGATATATTGGCAACCCTGGGGAGAAAAAAAAAAAGAACCAACTCAGGTTATATGCAGTAGTTTCCCTGACATAACCAACCAGTTTTTTCTATTTTGCCATTAAACCAAGAGTTGACTGCTCCTTCCCCCTAATGCTAAACTGGAGAGTTGTGTTTTCTGAATGAGCTTCATGTTCGTTCATGTTCCCCTTCCCTTTTTGGTACTGCCACAAAAGGAAACAAAAAGCTCTTGCTGTGTCCCTATGTCTGCACCTGAACATGATAATGATCATGATGTATGACATCATGTATCCTTATTTTGAAAATAAGCCAATTTCAAATTATGGTTTACAAAGCTAGCTTGTATATTATATACTGTATATTATTAATCTCCCAAAGATGCTTGTCCAAAAGGCAACTGGACTTTCTTTTCTTTAAAAATGTTTTGCTTCTCATCCAAGAAGTTTCTTCAGTTCTAATGGAATGGAAGGATTTATATTCTTTGCAGTCGTCTGGTTGTTAGTACTTGGAGGGTCATTAGCTCTCTGAGTATCACTGAGCCACTTGGAGGGTTATCTGTATCCCCAGAGTCACCTCAATCCGAATGCAAGAAAAGTGTGGAATCTTCTCACAATTAACAGTCCCAAGAAGGGTACACACCAGTTAAATCCTTCCCTTTCCCCTCCTCTCCAGTGAGTTAAAACTGAAGAAGCTTCTTGGATGAGAATCAAAATGTTTTCAAGGAAAAAGAAAAACGCCTTTGGAACAACTATGACCTGGACGATGGAGAATCTACATAGATATACTATTAACCAATTCCAGGTTCAAATAAACAATCAGAATGGATTGTTTTGAAACAATGTTTTTACATAACAGATATAACAAAATGGATAATTTAAAAAAAACTTTTAATATCTTCTTTACAGCATACCGATTGCCAAGGGGTGTGTGGCAGTAAAATATCTGAGTTTATGCATAAAGTGAAGAACTATTGTTTTTATACAAATATGATATGTGCAAACATTTCTATGAATTAAACAGATGTCATCAGTTTCTTTTCTCCTTTAGGATTAGTTATGAACACAATAGAATAGCGACTTTTGATACTAACAAAATGATCTATGAAGTCTAAATTATCTTTTTTCTCTCTTTTTGACACTCAGATTATCTTCCGTTTAGTTTCCATGTATGTTATAAAAGTCTTTTCTGTTTACTGCCGTTTATTTCACATTAATTGACAAATAATCTTTATCAAGATCTAAAACCATTAATATCCATTTCCATCCAAGTTTTTGTCAGATGGGCAACAATAGATTTTAGTGACCTGCATCTGCAGATTTTTGTGATTTTTGTGAGATAAAGGAAAGTTGACTTCTGAAAACTGATAAAATAGATGTTTTGAATATTTACAAAAGACCTAAACAATCAGGCAACATTTTCTGTAAGTTCTCATTTGTAAAACAAAACACTATTCTTGCTGCCTTGAATAAAAGCTTTTTTTCATTGGCTTAATATTTTCCATCCTAAATTTGACCATTTCTTTTTTTCCTTTCCTTCCCCTTTCCTTCCCTTGCCTTTTCTCTTTCCTTTCCTCATTTTCTTCTTTTCTTTCCTTTTCTTTTCTTGCCATACACTTAAAAACAAAGTTGCTCTTATCTTTTGTTTTCCTATGTCACCACTAAGGTTTTTTAGGAAGATCGAAAATATGTTAATCACTAAATACGTTGATATAGAATTTATTACTTAGGCTGCTATAGACTATGAATCTTAATGATTTAGATCACTCATAATGCTCAGTAAAATGTAATTTGTTTGGTTCAGGGTATGATAAGCATGTCTGCAGAGAACAGTAGCTTATAAAAACTGAAATTAATAAACATTTCAATTCAGCCACTGTAATTAATTTTTGGCTTGACTTAACTGTATTGACTAAACTTTGACTCTGAATATAGTTAAAGAATCAATGTTGTGCTGTGCATGAACCCAGCCATTATGTCAGTCCCAATATAAAATAGTTTTGTAATTGACTACCTTTTTCCCCCTCTTCTTCTTAAGGTTTGATATTGCCTAATGGAGATATCAACTGGAATTGTCCATGCCTTGGTGGAATGGCTAGTGGTCCTTGTGGGGAACAATTCAAGTCAGCTTTTTCCTGCTTTCATTATAGCAAGGAAGAAATTAAGGGATCAGATTGTGTGGACCAGTTTCGCGCAATGCAAGAATGCATGCAGAAATACCCGGATCTTTATCCTCAAGAAAATGATGATGATGATGATGATGATAAAGAAGAAGATAATCAAAGCAAAGATTTAGAAGCTACTCCTTCAGCGGGCAAAGAAAAGGATGGGTCTAGCTAATGAATGAGCACGGAGGCTATGGTCTCCTTTCCATATTCAGAGACATTTAGACAAGCAGAGGATCTTCTCTCCTTTCTTTCCTTCCGCCCCACTGATCCCGCAAGGAATACACTTCTGTACACTGTATCATGTGAACTCACTCACTGTGAAGAAACAGCTTCAGCCCTATGGTTTTAACACAGAAATGTTGCAGTAGAGTCAGTATAGAAGAAATGTAGACACCACCAGTGCTTTATTACTTTTCTTCTCCAGTTATGTTCAGTCTATAGGTTGGCTTGAAGAACAGAGGTGGTTAATGCTGTTTTGGGAAAGCAAAATATCTTCAAGGTTTTATATGATGAAAATTAATACAAATTTCTCAGAACAACCAGAAAGATTCAGAAATCTGGGTAAAATTTTCTGTAAGTCAGCCTTATGTGCTTGATGGCACAGGAAGTTTGCATGTATAATTAATTTCTAATAATAGAAAATTAATGCTAGTATATTGATTTTCCATTTTAAAATAAATGTTGATCAGGCCTAGCCGTTACTGAGCAGTTAGAGAAAAAACATTGGTCACATTTAGGAACATTCTTAGCGTTCCTAACAATTCCTGTTTTGAGGGGTTTCCTTTGTTCAAACCCCTCTCCCAGCAGGTTGCTGATCCTAATAGACTTGCAATGTTACCTGGTGTAACAAACCTCTGCATAGGTATTGTGATTTGACTATATATTAAAAGTGAATTCCTTTTACCTTACACAGGCCCCTGTGTCTTTTGTTAATGCTAATGACTCTTCCCTGTGACAGGCTACCTTGATTTGTTCAACATGGGCAAACAGGCAGTCCTCACTTAATGACCAATCATTCAGCGACCATTTATAGTTACGATCAGTCTTTAAAATTGAGGCTACAGCACCACCACATGGTCACATGATCAAAATGAGGGCATTTGATAACTAGCCCACATTTATGGCCAGACTATGCACTTCAAGTCCCCCCACCCACTTATCTCTACTTATCTCTGCCCTTTTGGCCACCCTGTACTTTACTGTCTGCTCCTGCTACCCCCCAAATGACATTTGCTGTCTTCTTCCCTGGACAAGGTAACAACTGTCAGTGCTGAGCAAGCCATCCGCACTGCTCCCTCGCCTCTCATGGTCTCTGTGCCCAGCTCTATCCTGCTGCTTCTTCCCCACGCTTGGCATGTTCCCTTCAACAGGTGAGGATCTGCTATGCACATCCCGGGTCTGCGCCCTCACCCAGGACATGGCTTCCAGGAGGAAAAGATGGTGAAGGTCAGCTGGGGGCAGCAAGGTACAAGTCGTCCAAAAACTGGGCAGAGAGGGAGAGGTAGATAGACAAGTAGAGGGAGTTGAACCAGAGGCAAGTGCAGCAGTGGCAGAGCTCATCTGCCAAAGGGAGCTTGTCAGGCTTCTGCTGGCGATGACAGTTTGCACAGAGTAGAAGTTTGTGGTCCTTGTCTAATGACTGCAACTGGGTTAGGATTAGACTGCCGGAACTGCCATTGTTAAGCAGTATGGTCATGTGATATTCCACCTAACAGCCATTTTGCTTAGCAGTGAAAAATCCTTTCTCAGTTAGGGTCTTTGAACAAGGACTACTTGGAGCCTTCTCATCTGAGGAGAATTCTGGCATCCTGTGATCTGAATTCCGGGTCAAAGTGGCTCTGGAATCATCAAGGGATACTGGTAGATGTTCTTTGTGTTAAGCCAACCTATCCAATCATTTAACTTAACCCTGAGGTTTTCAATGTACATATCCCATGTAGCCATGGTGATTGAGTCATATTTAAAGTAGATTTTATACAAAATATTGCAGGAGTGTGATAAACATGTAAATCTTTGAGATTATAATCCTTCCATTCAAGCAAAGGCTTGATCAACTAGATAGGAGTGTGGGTGGAAAGGAAAGAGGTGATTTTGCTGATTTTCTTAGGTCTGATGTCCTGCACCTGCCAAAATGTGGGTACTTGAACTTAAGGGACATTTAATAAATGTGGGGTCAACAAGGTTTTGTTAAAAACAAAGATATTGTAGAATAAAATTTGTTTTCTCATGGATCCCTCTATCTTTGAATAGAAGCACACAGTACTATAAACCCCATCCATCCATCTGCTCACTTTGATTAACTCATGCTCTGTTTTTATGTCTTGACAGGATCAGAATATATGTGACATTTTTTTTACATACATACATTTTTCATTTACTGAAGTAAAATGCAAGTACCAGTTTGACTCTTTCAGAAAAAGTGTCAAGAAAACTTCTTAGGCCTGCATATAGTGTCAGTGAAACAGCTACCCATGGAGAACAGGTCCTGAGGAATCAGATGGAGTGCATTTGTGAATAGGACTTTAACCAGGCCAGGTCAAAAGAAAATCAGTGGTTGGTTATCAGAAGCTGGTGCCTCCTCATCGTGTTTAAAGATTTATTATATAATCAATTTTGTAGCATCTGGTTAATAAGACATCCCTGGCACGAATGCTATTGGAAACTGCTTTTGGGTAATGCTGTCAGCCATTACAACAGGACTCTTAAGATGCGTCTATTCACCATAGAATTCTTACAGGGCCACCTTAGCATCCAAAAGGCATCACTACTAGGTCTGCGTTTGAATATTGTAGCGGGCTAAATTTCTTTAAGGTGAGTTCATTTGAAATCACTGCAGCAAATAAGCCATACATTCTTTTTGCAAGCAATAGGACTGAAATTCAAGCGATTCCGTCATTTTTAGCTTGCCTTTTTGTAGAAAGTCATTTTCACCACGTTAACATCACTAGTGCTTATCTGAATGAGATACACCTCAACTGCATCTCAAGATGATAAGCTTAGTCTTGTCATGCTTTTGTTTCCATTTCCTGTGCCTAATTGCATATTTTGTTTTCCTTTGGCATTCAAATTAGCGCACATGAGTCTACCCCAGTTTTATCCTTGGAACAATTCTGTGAAGTAGGTTGTTCCGATTCAGTGAATTCTCTGAGTAGGTAGAAATTTGGACCTGGGAGTCCCAATCCATACACTTCATGCCCAAATGCAATTATTTGAAAATGCTGGTAAAAATGGAGCAAGCACCATTCTCTGGTTCCCACTTCTGCTGTTACTTTTCTTCATATCCCATTCTACCATTTTTTCCTCTTTAGTCTCTTCATTTAAATTTTGGATATTTGAATTGCCCTTTCACTTACAAGCAGCTATAAACGCAGAGCTTCTAACTTATGTTTTATATAAATAAAATCCCTTGGGTTTAGCAATAAACCATCTAGCTCTTTATCTGACAGAAAACTCATCAGACAAAATATGAAAAAATGCAGGCAATATAATATAAACATAGTTTATACAGTGTGTCCAAAATGATTTTAACATTTTAATAGAAACTGTGATGAACTAAATAAAAGTCCTGTATCCATAAATTAACTGACATGCATAACAGATTATACATTAAAAGGGCAGTAAGATTTATAATGCCTTGGCCAAAGCTTAAGTAAAAGACATTTAACTATAAATTCAAAATTAAGCTTCTTCCCTTAACCTATTGCCCATATTTTAGGAGAGATTATTTTTTTAGTGCAAACACTTTAGTGCCTTTCAAAAGAAATTCCATAATCTAGAACAAGAAATGGTATAAACAATTACATTAGTCATATTCCAGCACAAGTTATATGGAAATGTCTGGGTTTTAACAGCTGTCTTATAATAGAAGACTTCTTTACTCTGCATTGGTAGCTAATGTCTCAAACCACAACTATGTTTTGCACAGTATATAACAATGAAGTACAAATTATTGCTAGGGAGCTGAGGAGTCACTCTCATCCTTCTGCAGCACAGACTACTTTTCTGACTAGTCTCTGAGCAAAGGGCAGCAATGTTAGTGGTGTTTATCTGTATCCACCTGTTCATCTGGAGCACTGCTTGTTAGAAGAATCTTGGCTAGTAGTAAATAATAAATATGAATAGAAGCATCTGTTCTTTGAGATGTCTTGAACACCCATACAGTATGAAAAGGGCAAGTGACTGAGGCTACAAAGTGGCAATATGAAGCATTTTAGGTGAAATGAACACAACGGAAATTGAAAATCAAATATTAACTTGGAAAAAAAAAAAGGACCATGTGAGGGTTTCAAGAGGCAATCGGTCTTTAAATCACCAATTTGGTGTGTCTTCTATGCAATTCAGTAGTAAATCTGATAACCCCAAAAGCAAATTCCAATATTTCTGCTGATGAATACAAACTTTGAGTTCTTGCCTCATTGTTCTCCTAAGAGAACTTGGTAGGCTCCTAAAATCCATCATAGCAGTGGTCTTTCTGCATTTGTTTTGATGCAACAGATGCTAAATTTGGGACAAAACAGAAAAACGCTGTTGGTGAGAACAGGTGAAACCCAGAACAGTATTGTGGGAATAACACTATAGAAAATAAATCTTTGGAATCTGGTGGTAATCAAGTTTTGGATCACCAGCTATTTTTATTCTAATGTGTAGATTGCCAGCCATTTTCTTTTCCCATGAATGTTGTCAGGAAGTTTAGGGGGACACCCACAGAAGGAACAGGGACCTCCACTTCCCAGAATGAATCCTTGCAGCTCTGAGTCCTTTCAGGCTGCCTTCCAGATTTCCAATAACTTTGCTGTTTGCTTCTCTATGAAGTAGACACAAAGACACTTAAATCTACAATACCTTCTCAATTCCAGTGCAAATTTCAATAGAAAACATAGACATAGAACCCAAAAGCTACGAAAGGTACCTTAAAATAACAGCTTTTTAAACAGGCCTCTCAAATATAAGCAAGACTCATGTGACGAATGATGTTGTGTAGCCCTGTAACAACAAATTTTTGCTCTTCCTTCATAGTTACTGTAAAAAAACAAAACCCAGCTCCAGAAAAATAAATAGTGCAGGAGCTCTAGTTTTCTGTTAGTAATGACTGTTCATCAATGACATAATATAATCTTGGCCTCAGTTACAAATATATGTATTGATGAAATTTGAAAGCTATAGATACTGTAATCCTAAAGTAAGCTACATGCCAGGCTCTATGTGAGCCTAGATACATGAGGTTAATTCAGCAGTCTTTTTTTTTTACAAATATGTGAAAGAGAGAGAAGATTGTTGTCTTGAAAAACAACAACAACAGATTCCTGCAGAAAGCACTTAATGGAATGGAGGAAAGACAGTTTGCTTTTAAATTTTCCTTAATTATAAAAGTAACGATTAACATTAGAGAGCTAACTAGACTTTTCACTGACATATTATTAATGTGTACATATTTGTGACTTGACTTGAGAAAAATAAATAAATTATCTGCATCCAGTTCGTAGTATATCTGCAACAAACTTCCCCCAGTGAGCTTTCCAGGGCTTCACCAGACTGTTCATGTTCACAAGAAGTCTGTTCGTCCGTGCGTCTTCTTGTCCTGCTATTAAATAGTCTATACCTGGTTTGAAAAAGGATTACATATTGTAAGAATCAATTCTCAATATTAATTAAATTACAGAATCAAAGATTTCCCAGAAGACTTTACAGGGATAATTTTAATTAAGATCATTAATTTTTCCTCTCCTCTCTTTCCATCTGAACACGGTGCTCCGGATGACTTAAAATGCAAATTACTTAATTACAAAGTTCATGAGTTTGCTTGCGTAGCAAGATTGGTACTTAACATAGACTGAGAAATTAAAAATCCTGGAAAATAGTAATAGCAAATTGATTTCATGGTGCCAAGATGATACTTGGGCGTG